TTCAATCACATATTTCCGATAGACTCTTGTAGCTGAGATCAAAATGAGACAATTGAAAGACGAATGAAAACTTTCAATCAAAGCCATTGAAGAGAGAACTATAAGTTTTGTGGAAATGATTTGAGAATTACACAACTTACAAATGTTTTCAATCGGAAGCAAATTCGACACAATAAACGTTTCCAGCAATGATGGTAGAAGGAAAAATGTGAGCAGAGCCAGAGACTGAAAAAGATTGAAAAGATCGAAAAGTAATCTACTTCTGTAACCTGCAAAAAGAAAACAATTTGCAGATATTGAATCATTTCTTTCGTTTGTTGACTGACAGTCTTTTTCACTGAATTTGCATAGTGAAAAGTCAACCAAACAATATAGAACAACCAAGCTGTGCCAAAGGAAACCTGAAAATATTTTTTCCAAAAAAAACTTGAAATAAAACCAGAATCAAAACTGGCAAAGCTAATTTGGAATCATGTTGTCGAGGATAGGAGACGATTGGTTGTTGATATGATTGACAAGTTGAGTCGACTTCTACAGTTGGCTTTAAATTGTTCAAATTGAGTCATTAACCAAAATTCTTCAGATTTCACTTACTCTTCTTTAAAGCCAACAGAATGACCTCAACAGAATCGATAACTTCATATTCATTCAAGATAACAAAGCTGAGAACCGAAAAGAAAACAGGACTAGCTGCAGCGATAAAGCAATGCAAGAAAAATAGCTTTGGCGCATCACGAGAATAGCCAACAGCATGCAACTTATACAATAGAGAAAACAGAAGTGTTTCCAAGACCAAGACCCCGAAATTTAAGTAGTATTTCTAGAATTGGTATAGTAAAGTCAGGGAAAACGGATTATTACTATGAGTTGTGCTTTGAAGTGTAAAGGTAAACCAAAAACGTCGCCAAAACTGCACGCAGTCGATGGTAAAAGATAGATTGGCTCTGTTAGGAAGATACCCAAATCCATGCATTGTGAGAAGATCTGGAAAAGAGATTCATAAATTGATAAAGAAAATCTGGCTCCTGAATTTCTAGATTTCAATTGCTCCGTAAATCCAACCACACTTCCGATTTGAATGTTTCGATAGAGTTTCGAGGCTGGCGATTTTACTTTGAACATTGTGAATAGAGTAAGGAGAGAAAGGGTGACACTCACTCCAAACGAGATTTTATAAAAGATTCCAATGATCGTCAGTTCGTCCTCGGTCGGGCAAAACATGGCTAAAGTTGGTGAGGAAAAGTGATAAAATTGATTGAACTTATTAAAAAAATTGATGATTCAAATTGCTGGAAATTTAAGAAAATTTCTTATTAAATTGCTAAAAACTAGAACGAAAAGATAAAAGAACTTTTTCAACTTTGCTTCTAATAAAAATCTCTATAATTGTCGGCTAAACTGTTTGTTGTCGGAAAGAATGACTTGTACAGAAAAAGTCAATTACTGTTTGCGATTTTCAAAAAAAAGTAGTTGAGCTTTTTATGGAAAAAGAACAAAGTTTGTTTCAAATAAACTTTTCCTGACAACAAGTGTGATAATTGGTTGGAAAACAAAAGAAAACGCTTCAATCTTTGTACTCGAAATAAGAAAATATGTATTTATCACTTTAAAATCGATTAAAATCGATTTTCAAACGACCTATTTCTAACAGTATATCAAATTAGAAAGATGATCAAGGGAATATTATTTAAACGAAAGAGATTGGAAACATGAGAAGAAAAAAAATAGCAAAAACAATGGGGTGCCTGGGAGTCGAACCCGACTAGCAAAAGCGAGTGTGAATCAGGGGCACTACCACTGTCCCACCGTGACGCTACAATGCTAGGAGATGGCACTAGGAGAGAGCAATAAAGAGTCCAATTAAATCGAAAAAAATTCGTTGCACCACCTCTGATTTTGTCTTCTCCGAGAATCTTTTTCGTTGTGGCAAGTATTTTCTTTTTTCCAGGAATTCTGCTCAATTGTGTTGCACTTTTCAGTTCTCTACAAATATACAATGGGAATTGATAGTAGCAAGACAAGGAAAATGAGTGTTGATTTGAAGAGTTGATTCCATTTAAAACAATATTTTTTACTGTTTCAATGAATCTAGATCAATCAATTGCAACAAAAAAGGAATGAGAAATCTTGGAAAAAAAGTTTTAAATAAAAGTTAAACGTCTGTTTAGTTGAAAATAAAGTCAAAGCTTTTTAGTTAAAATCAATTAGCGAGAAGATATGGGATCAAAAATGCTCCTCAAGATTAATAAAAAAAACTAAAAGGTTGACTTTTGATAAAAACTAATATTCTAAACTCCTTCAATTACGGCCTTTCTTAATTTTCTGAATGTTCAATGTCGAAGATCTCAAAAAGTATTCTCTACATTTAACAAACTTTTCTATTCTTGCTGATGTCCAGCAATTAAAATGCAAATCAGATTTTAATCAGAAACGATATCATTTAGGACAATATACGCTGTCGAATGGATATAATCCAAAGCTAGAGATATTGAAGTGGTTCAAGTCCTAAATTTGGTTATTTTGTTCCTTTGGATAGATCAAATGGCTAAAAACCAAGTCAAGTAAAATGCTATTTTGACAAGAGAAGATGAGAACTAAAAGCTGAAGTAATTTCTTCTTTCAGATGGCGGTCCATTCTTGATTGAGGCTAACGATCAAATTCTCCAAGTTGGCATGATCAAAAGTGAACTCAAAAGGGTATACATATTAAGAATTATACAATGAGTATCTGAGCTTTCTTAGTTTTTCCATGTATTGTTTCCTTCTTTTTTGTCTTGTTCTGGACCAAAATTACAGAAAGAGCATGCGAACTTTTTGCTCACCTAGAACGTTATCTTTATTTTCTTTTTTGAAGAAGTTAATCACCTCAATTTTAGAAGAACGCTTTTCTCAAAACGCTTACTCTTTTGCCGAAAGTAAACGAAAATCAAAAAATTCTTTTGAGAGCAATAGAGATGGGACAAAAGATGAGATAACGATGAACGATGAGCGAGAGAAAAGATCTGAAAGACGAAAGATTTTGGGAACCCGGATTTGTAAAAGGAAATCGACTTTTTCATGAACAAAGAGAAAATTCGCCCTTTAAAAGAGGAATTTAAAAAGCTGAATAGTTCGGAAAAAGAACTGTTTCTCGACGGAAAGCCCAAAGATTGTTGAGGGGATACTCGAAGCATATCACCAGATTGAGGAGTTAACGGAAACCATTGAAACATTTGAAAGAGATAAAAGCGACTCTGATTCCGATTTCGAAAAACCAAAAGTCCCTTCTAGCGAAGAAAAAGGGATTGTTGTCAGACTTGAGTTGGTCATCTTACACGAGCTAATTGCTCCAATTTTGATTTTGTTTCAAGCTTTTCAGTGTTTAGAGACAAAGTATTGTCTCTCCCCATGGGAACAGTATCGAAAAGTTTCGAATTGCATTGAAGCTTTAAATTTCATGAAAAATTGTCTCTTCAAGAATTACTCATTCCGGTCCTATCTCTCTTCATCAACCAATCGGATCTGGTTTTCTGTTGCTAAGAATTACTTTTTACGAGACGATTTTGATGAGCTCAAGCCATTTCCTGGTGGCTGGATGAAGGGAAAAGAGAAGGAGATCTGGAGTTGTGGAGATGGAATGGTGAGAAACTGCATTACACCCAAGACGAAACGATAAGTATCGAAAAATTTGTATCTACATTAAACGAGAGATTAGAAACGTTGGTAAAAGTTGCTGTTGCTCGACTGGATCAATTTCAAAAATTGGATGTATCACCTGGAGATTTCTTTCAGCTAAGAAACCCACCTCGGCCAATTTGCCACCACAAACCTTTATGTCCAATTGTTGATTTCGAACAGTTTTCTGAATCACTTGTTAATGACGCTGAGCCTCAATTGCCAAAAGCAATGTGTTTGCCCTTATTTGCTTGTGGAAAAAAGAAAGAGATCGAGAAATTGAAAATCTATTTTGCTTTTCTTAACTCATTCCATCGTCACTTTCATCTTCTCTATATGCCTTTTAAAATCGAAAGTTTTCTTTTTTTAACATGCGAAAATATATCGAAATTCCCCTTTTTGGTGCTATTAGATCATCCAAACAACTATGAGATCGGAGAGCGAATTGCCGGTTTCACTTCGGATCTTCAGCTAAGACATTTAGATGTGGAAAAAGTGAAAAAATACTTCGAACGAGTGCCAGAAAAGAAACGGATCTACTTGAGAATTGATGGGACGATGTGGGCTCAATTTGTTAATTGTTCGGGAGAGAAAATAAAAAAGACAAAAGACTTTTTAATAATGCTTGAAAAGGAATGGCCGTCTCGATTTAGATATCACGAGAAGAGAATAATCACTTTTTTCGAGCAGAGACGAATTCACAGGACTTCAAGAAGAAGCTCTTGTCGCATTCAATAAAGGTTTTTATGTTTTTGCTGTTTTTCTTGATTGACAAGTAAAAAATTGGTTCGGCTTTTGCTCAATTATTTAAAAAGACAGTTTATCCAAGCCATTTCGTTTTTCATTTCTCTTTCTTTCTTGGAGGCTCAATAAGCTCTTTCCTTTTAACGAGTTTGTTCTTTTGAAAAAGCAAAAACATTAGCAAATCGTTTGAATTCCGTTTTCTTTTTCATCTATCAGCAAAAGGTATAAACAGCTTCGGGTTCATTTGGACGAAACAAATTCCATGGTAAGGAACAAGTAGTTTCACGCCTAATTTCCATTCCGCGAATAGGTCTCTGAGGTGAGGGTTTTTGTGTTTCTAAACAAGAAACAGACAGAAAAGAATGGAGCAAAATGGAAACAAATACCGATATTCGATTGTTCATAAAGCAGTTTTGCCACTTTAATGGTCACAACTAGAAGATTTTAGTTGAAAATCTTAAATGAGAAATGGTAAAAAGATGAATGTGTGTGCCAGTAAGTAGAATGAGACTTCTTTTCTGTATAGCCCATCACAAAAAGCTTGCAAATCAAATCCTGTTTATTTTTTAAAGTTCAAACACAAAAGCGCCAAATGAATTTCATTGGCAACAATGCCAGGCGTAGCCAGACGAACAGCAAGTGCTTCCCGCGTATCCGGGTGCGATCTTGCAATTTCCCCAGCCGCAGCTACACGAAAGGTTGCAAATGCCACGACGAAGGCGTCCACTACGCTCCACTCTAAAAATGTGAGGCTGTTTTTTGAGACTTTTAAATGCTAAAAAACCAAGTGAATCGGAATAAAAACTCATGAAAGTCTGCATTTTTCTCAACAAACATTTCTCGACATGATTAAACTATAGCCATGCAGCTACAAATTGAGTTAAAATCTCCAAGAGTTTCCACTTCCACTTACAAATTACCTCTGGTACAAAGTTGAAAAAGGTGTCTAGTTATTTGAGAAAAAGTTTTGCTTCTTACCCAATCGATGCTTTCTCAACTTGGTCATCATCATCACCCCCATCAGAAATAGCCATCGAGAAGGCGATGAGACAAACGAGGAAGAGACGAGTCAATCGCTTGGAGGCCATCTCTTGTTAAAGTGAATCGGTTTCGAATGCTTTCCAGCTCGAATCGCTGACTATTTATGGTGCTTGACGATGTTTTTGTTGAATCAGGAAACGAATTTTGTTGATAAATACAAATGATAGTTCTGGAATTCGCTCAAGAAACTTTTAGTTTTCTTAAGTCACCATTTCAGCAAAATTGTCATCTATTTCAAAGAGTATCAAAAGTGAAGAAAACTGGCAGAAAAAATTACTAAATAAAAAATTCTTTTGCCTCCAAGGTCACTCCAAAAAAGGATTATTTAGAAAATCGTAGGAGAGAAAGAGATTCTTAAGCAGGCTGGAAAGTTTAAACTTTTAAGCTGAAAATTATTACAATTAAATTAATCACTTTTTAGGGACCCAGTTTATTTTGCAAAAAACTTTTATTTGTTTTTACTTTTTTTGTTTAACTATCATCGAAACATGAAAAAGGGCTAAAGCAATTCCTGTGATTTGACTCGTGTAGGCTTTTTAACTTAGCCATAATTTTTTGGGGTAAGAAGGGGAGGGGTCCGGAATTCTTCAAAAGCACACAAAAAACAAAAGCTACAAAATTTCTTGTGATTACTAGCTTGCCGATTCTTTTTGGATAAACGCCCCTTTGATTATACTAGATACGGATCCTGTTTGTTGTCTAATTGCTAGATAGATATTTGTATACATTTAAGAATGATAAAGTTTTGCTATCTACGGCATTTTTTTGAGAAATTTTGCATCTTTTCACGTGAAAATCAAAGAAAGTTGCGCTTCTAAGGTCCGAACTCGTAACTGAGACTTTTGACCTTGACCCCGCGAATTCTTTTGAGAAATGAAATGATCAAATACCATTTACAGAAGGTAATATTGCTGAAGAAAACAATCATCATTATTTAAAAGATGAATATATAAGTGCTGGATCTGTTTTTTTTCTTGTGCTTTATATACTAAAACTCTTCTTGCAATCTATGGTGGGTGAATATATTTCAGATGAAAACCCAAAAGAAACAACTTTTAACAGCTTTTGAACCTTTAGCAAATTATCATTTAGATCCAATTTTTTAAATTCTAGAGTTTTAGACTTGATTTAAACTCCATTGTCTTATAAGCTACTTTGCAATTGGGTTAAGTTAATTACAAAAATTCTGAGTTGGGCCTAGAGGCGATTCCCAGAGGCAATTCTAAAATTTTGCTTAGAAACAATCCCGATTGGGCTCTGTTGGGCTTTCAGAAATAGGCACTGTTTTCAAATACTAAAGCTTTTAAAAACAAAAACAAATTTAGCAAATGCTGGCACGGGCACATTTAACCGCTCTATGCCTCCTGTTGATCGTCGCCGGAGTGAATGGGGGCAAATGTCTCGACAACTACAGCTTCTACAATCCAGAATCGTGGGTCTGCGCGACTATGGGCCGAATTTTCCCCGAAACTCGGAATGCCCTCATTCGAGACAGAAACAATGGATTCAATTTCATGGAAAGACATTGGCGTCAAGTGGGTGTGCCCATCTTCCAGGGCTATCGACCGAGATAGAAGAAACTGCATGGGATAATTTTTCTACCTATCGATATCGATTAAATAAAAATATTGCTCTGATGTGAACTTTTTGCAAAACAACATACTTTTGTCGCCTGAGCACGTGAATCTGGGCGAACTTCCAGCCAAGTTCCAAGATCTATAGAAAAACGGCAAATGAACTGATTGAAAAACTCAAAGGATTTACCGTAGAAAATTGCGTCAATTTTAGACAAACTTTAATTTTGTCGATCGGACAATTCAGCGAGGAGTTATTCCTAAAATACGGTGTAATTACCTAATTACGTGCTACCTTGTATGTTGCTAGAAGAAAAAGGATAAGTTTTTTCAAAATCCTGGAGGGTCGTATTTGTAAGCGCAAACTTTCAAGACTTTCGGTGAAATATTATGACGGATACCTCGATGAGCTCTTGATTACAGATTACAAAATATTCTCTCGATAAATGCGTCTTTGGTATCAAAAAATAGTTGAAATTCAGGGCTATTTTTTGATACCTAAGCGCGCATTCTAGCATAAACCAGTGTCGAGAAAAACTCGTTCAAAGCTAGACTACGCAACACTCCGCGCCGTCATTATGGGGGTGGGGTACTATTACAGTATTGACTATTACAGTAAAATGCCTGAAAGTTCTAAAATAAAACATTTTTCAAAAATTCAAAAAAGCCATTTTGTAGATTAAGGATAGGGTTTTTGAATCAAGTAAACCGTTTTTTGATTGGATAAAACGTTTTTTCAGAAAACACATTACCAAAAAACGATCATTTATAACTTGCCAACCTAATAGCACGGATTTTTAAATAATTTTTTTTATAAGGAGTTATTGAGTAGAAAAGTTGAATAAAAAGCACAAGTATCAGATTAAAATACGACCCAGATCGGCTTATTTCCTAATGTTTTTTACGTAAATATAGTTATGCAAAGAAAACTTTATTCTCTATTATGTTTTATTCTCGGAACTTCGAATCGAATTAAAAAACCAACATTTCATTTCATTTTAGAGGTGCACATCAGGCAGGAATTGTCGGAAATTTGTCTAAAAGTAGGTTGTAGTCATAAAATCGGCCACGATTATCATTTTACCTTTTCCACATATCTTTTCAATCAAATATTCCCGATAGACTCTTGTCGCTGAGATCAAAATGAGACAATTGAAAGACGAATGAAAACTTTGAAACAAAGCCAGTGAAGAGAGAACTATAAGTTTTGTGGCAATGTTTTGAGACTTACACAACCCACAAATGTTTTCAATCGGAAGCAAATTCAACACACTAAACGTCCCCAGCAATGGTGGCAGAATGAAAAAAGTGAGCAGAGCAAGGGACTGAAAAAGATTGAAATCGAAAAGTAATCTACTTCTGTAACCTGGAAAAAGAAAACAATTTGCAGATATTGAATCATTTCTTTCGTTTGTTGACTGACAATTTTCTTCACTGAATTTGCGTAGTGAAAAGTCAACCAAACAACATAGAACAACCAAGCTGTGCCAAAGGAACCCTGTAAATATTTTTTCAAAAAAAAAATTCTGAATAAAACCAGAATCACAACTGGGAAAGCTATTTTGGAATCTTGTCGAGGATAGAAGACGATTGGTTGGTGGTATGATTGACAAGTTGAGTTGACTTCTACAGTTATAAACTGGGCTTTAAATTGTTCAAATTGAGCCATTAACCAAAATTCTTCAGATTTTACTTACCTGTCTTTAAAGCCAACAGAACGAACTCAACAGAATCGAAAACTTCATATTGATTCAAGATAACAAAGCCGGGAACCGAAAAGAAAACAGGACCAGCTCCAGCGGTAAAGCAATGCAAGAAAAATAGCTTTGGCGAATCACGAGAATATCCAACAGCATGCAATTGATACAATAGAGAAAACAGAAGTGTTTCCAAGACCAAGACCGCGAAATTTAAATAGTATTTCTAGAATTGGCATAGAAAAATCAGGGAAAACCGATTTTTACTGGGAGTTGTGCTTTGAAGTGTAAAGGTAAACCAGAAGCGTCGCCAAAACTGCACGCGGTCGATGGTAAAAGATAGATTGGCTCTGCTAGGAAAATACCCAAATCCATACATTGTGAGAAGATCTGGAAAAGAGATTCATAAATTGATAAAGAAAATCTGGCTCCTGAATTTCTAGATTTCAATTGCTCCGTAAATCCAACCACACTTCCGATTTGAATGTTTCGATAGAGTTTCGAGGCTGGCGATTTTACTTTGAACATTGTGAATAGAGTAAGGAGCGAAAGGGTGGCACTCACCCCAAACGAAATTTTATAGAAAATTCCAATGATTGTCAGTTCGTTGTCGGTAGGGCAAAACATGGCTAAAGTTGGTGAGGGAAACTGATAAAATTGTTTGAACTTATTTTAAAAAAATTGATGATTCAAATTGATTGAACTTTCAGAAAATTTCTTGTTAAATTGCTAAAAAATACAAACGAAAAGATAAAAGAACTTTGCTGTTTATAAAAATCTCTATAATTGTCGGCTAAATTGTTTGTTGTCAGAAAGAATGACTTGGACAGAAAACGTCAATTACTGCTTGCGATTTTCAAAATAAAGTAGTCGAGCTTTTCTTGGAAAAAGAACAAATTTTATTTCAAATAAACCTTTCATGACAAGAATTGTGATAATTGGCTGAAAACCCAAAGAAAACGCTTCAATCTTTGTACTCGAAATCAGAAAATATTTATTTATCACTTTCAAAATCGATTTTCAACCGACTCATTTCTAACAGTATATCAGATTAGAAAGATGATCAAGGGAATGTTATTTAAAAGAAAGAGATCGGAAAGATGAGAAGAAAAAAATAGCAAAAAGAATGACGCGCGTGGGAGTCGAACCCGACTAGCAAAAGCAAGCGTGAATCAGGGCCACTACCACTGTCCCACCGTGACGCTATAATGCTCCGACAAAGACAATCATTATACAGGGTGCGGCAAAAGTTCTGACACTTTGTCTAAGAGAAATAAAAGTTGCAAACTTTGGCAATATTAATCAAAAAAACGATAATAAATTGTTTATTGAAGACAAAACTAACAAAAAATCATAACAAATGCTCAAAATTTCCACCCTTGGTCTCGATGTACTTCTTCAATAGCTTGCGGAAGTTGCCGACGATGGTCGCGCATTGCTGAACAGTGATTTGAGCCCAGGCCCTCTTCAAAGCGGCTTTCAAAGAATCCACGGAGTGAAATCTCTGGCCCGAGATCTTTTCTTTCAAGATCGACCAAACGGAGAAGTCCAGGGGGTTCAAGTCGGGGCTATTCGACGGCCCAATGTCCTTACCCCAGTAGCCCGGAAACAGCTGATTGCAGAGAGCGAGAGTCGAGCGGGCTCCATGGGCCGGCGCCCAGTCCTGCTGAAGGGTAAATCCAGTTTCCCGAAATGATTCGCTGCCCAGGGCTCTAAAACATCCTTTAACACCTCTTGCTGGTAGACCTTAGCGTTGATTTTCACATTTCGATCGATGAACACAAGAGGCGTTTTTCCTGTGGCACAGATGCCGGCCCACACCATAACGGACTTCGGAAAATGTTGGCGGACCATCAATTTGGCTGCAAAAGTGTTTTTCAGACCTCGCTTGACAAGTTGGCGATGGTTTTGACGATTGTGAATCGGTTGAACGGTGAAGATCTTTTCATCTGTGAACACAACCCTGTCTAAACGACCAGCAGCGACCAGGTGCAACATCTTCTCCGCTTTAGCCATCCTCTTTTGCTTCATGGCGTCGTTCAGGAAATGAGCCCGAGCAAATCTGTAGCTGGACATTTCATTTCTCTTTTGAACAATCCTTCGAACGCTTCTTTCGCCGATTCCGAGGCTTGTGGCCATCTTTCTCATTGAACGAGTGGATTTCGACGGATTCGGCATCTGACTTTGTTTGTGTTATCTGGAGTGACGGCTGTGGTTGGTCGGCCGCTTCTTGGACGGTCCTGATTGTTGCCCCGCTCCTTCAATCGTTCAATGGTACGATAGACAGACCTTTTTGGATATCCGGTGACTCCAAAAATCTCCATCGGTATCTTTCCGGCTTTGTACAACTCAAGTATCACAGTGCGCCTCTTTTTAGCATTCATATTGAAAGCGAACCTAAACAAAAACGTTGCTTTTTGTTAAAAATAAGGCAAAACAGTTTAACAAATGCTAGAAAAAAAAGTGAGCCAAATACTGTTTTTTGAAGTTTTATACAGTCGTTTGAAAAAATATGTCAGAATTTTTGCCGCACCCAGTATACCTTAAAACCGCTCAGTGCACTACGGGGTCAAATTCCAAATCTAGAGCGGTCTAGACTACAGAAATCTAGAGCGTTTGGGGAAAAACTAAAAACGCCATCGTGTTGCCCGTGTCCGACTTGCGTAAGTCATCTAGCTTTGGTTTGGATTCGCTCTTGCGAAGTCTGCGAAATTCCCTAGTAAGACTAATTTCGGTTTAGCAGAGAGGTTTAGAAAAGGAAAGAGATTAGAAAAGTCAACGTTTGAGATTTGAATGAGACTTCTTTTCTGTATAGCCCATCTAGTAGACAAAAATCGCAAATCAAATCCTTTATTTTTTAAATTTCACACACAAAACCGCCAAATGAATTTCATCGGCAACAATGCCAGGCGTAGCCAGACGAACAGCAACTGCTTCCCGCGTATCCGGGTGCGATCTTGCAATTTCCCCAGCCGCAGCTACACGAAAGGTTGCAAATGCCACGACGAAGGCGTCCACTACGCTCCACTCTAAAAATGCAAGGCTGTTTCTGACACTGTTAATTGCTAAAAAGCCAAGTGAATCCGAATAAAAACTCATGAAAGTCTGCACTGTTCTCAACAAACATTTCTCGACATGATTAAACTATAGCCATGCAGCTACAAATTGAGTTAAAGTCGCTAAGCGTTATACAAAAAGACTTTACATTAAACACTATTGTTTCCAATTCAAAACTGGTAGTCAGGTAGATCTTGGTACAGTTAGACAGAATACACGATGGACTCAAGTTTTCCACTTACAAATTACCCCTGAGTACAAAGTTGAAAAAGGCTGCCCAGTTATTTGAGAAAAAAGTTTTGCTTCTTACCCAATCGATGCGTTCTCAACTTGATCATCATCATCCCCATCAGAAATAGCCATCGAGAAGGCAAGGAGACAAACGAGGAAGAGACCAGTCAATCGCTCGGAGGCCATCTCTTCTTAAAGTGAATCGGTTTCGACTTGCTTTCTAGCTCGAATCTCTGACTATTTATGGTGCTTGACGATGTTTTCGTTGAATCAGGAAACGAATTTTGTTGATAAATACGAATGATCGTTCTGGAATTCGCTCAAGAAAGTTCTAGTTTTCTTAAGTCACAATTTCAGCAAAATTATCATTTATTTTGAATGATCAAAGAGTATCAAAAGTGAAGAAAACAGGCAGGGAAAGTTGCTTAATAAAAGATTCCTTTGCCTTCAAGGTCACTCCAAAAAATGATTATTTAGAGAATAGTAGAAGAGAAAGAAATGCTTCAGCAAGCTTGAAAATTTAAATTTTTAAGGTGAAAAATATAACAGTTAGATCAATCACTTTTTTAGGTACCCAGTTTATTTCGCAAAAAAACTTCTATTTGTTTCTAGATTTTTTGTTTAACTAGCTGCGGCTGGGGAAATTGCAAGATCGTGTAGCTGCGGCTGGGGAAATTGCAAGATCGCACCCGGATACGCGGGAAGCACTTGCTGTTCGTCTGGCTACGCCTGGCATTGTTGCCAATGAAATTCATTTGGCGCTTTTGTGTTTGAACTTTAAAAAATAAAGGATTTGATTTGCAAGCTTTTTGTGATGGGCTATACAGAAAAGAAGTCTCATTCTACTTACTGGCACACACATTCATCTTTTTACGATTTCTCATTTAAGATTTTCAACTAAAATCTTCTAGTTGTGACCATTAAAGTGGCAAAACTGCTTTATGAACAATCGAATATCGGTATTTGTTTCCATTTTGCTTAGGTTTTTCTTGGAATTGCACAACACATAGAACCAGTGAAGGGAATAAGAAACATTGATAGAGAAGATTCAGGAAGCCATCCCTAGCCATCTAATGTGGCTAGGGAAAATCTTTTCAATCGCAAATGTAAATCTGTCTGTGTTTTCCGTTATTTTTCTTCGTCGAATCAACAAAAATGTGGTTGTGCCGAGTAGACTGCAAGTGGTGATGACAAAATAACTGAAGTATGTTTAAAATGGAGCTTTTTTCTCTTTTTCAATTTTTTCTATCCCGAGAATAGCCAAGAACACGGAAGCGAACTTCAGTGTTTTCAGAGTGTAAAAGTTCTTTGCTGTTGCTTTTCTGTTCCTTTGTTGTACTGCTGTTCATTGCTGTACCAGATTAAAAGAAATGCAGCCGAAAATAGGTAGATAGATTTAAATAGAGAAATTAACAAATTGATGAAATTTGAACAGAGATCAAAGCTTTTGAATTTTCAGAATTTTCTCAGAATTTGGATTCTTTTAGGAAAACGAAAAGGAAAACGAAAAGGCGCCGGTATTGAAGTGAGCAAAGGGTAGCTGATTAAAATAAAGTATTGCCATTTATTTGTCTTTTCCATCAATAAATAGAAGCGTCCGTTGAAAGCGATAGCGATGAAACGATTCGATGTCAAGAGAAAATTGAAAATGAATATGAAGAAGGATGAAAAGCCCAACCTTTTCCGTGTAGATGGATGATCCAATCCCATAGGCGATCAGAGCTGTTGTGCAGTCGATTATCGGTACATAGATCAGTGCATAGAGTGCATCTGATCTAAAGTAATTGATTTCTGTGTCTCTTTCTACGAAAATATCACCTGAGCAAACCCACAGACAAAATAGATTTTAAAAAACGACCAAATTGCTTTTGGTATTCCCCATTGGATGAGTGAACTGCATTGATGAGTGACGCAAAGAAAAAGATACACAAAAAATAGTGACGGACGATCCCGGTGATAAGAGTGCTTTGAAGAAGAACAGCAAGCAGGCCACTCAAAACTCCAATAACTTTTCAGCTTCTGTAACGTGGCCTACGATCCGCCACACCACCGAAGCCGTTGGAGGCGCATTTAAAGAGATGGCATACAAAGGAATCAAAAAAAGAGCCCAACTCTTGTATTCCAGCTATCTCGCCATACAGCGTCGATACAGCGAAAAACTAAAAGCACTTTCGGTAGTGCACTACTTTAATTAGTTTCAAAGCCATTTATCTTGGTTGGAGTTGGCACATTTCTACATCCGAGTTCAATTCTTATTCGTTTTTCATAGCCAAATGCACCGAGCTTCTCTCCACCCACGATGTCATTCTCTTCACCCACGTATTCCCTTTGTTGTTTGTTACCTCACAAATAGACCAGTCTAGCTCAAAAAGGCACATTAAAAAAAGCGAAAACCGATTAAAATGGGGAGAATAAACTTTGTACCTGACATTTCCCATTGAATAGCCATTGCCCCTTCACATCTTTTACAACAAAAGCTCTGATCCATTGTTAATAAAAGCTAACAAAAAAAATCCTAGCAAACTCTCGACAAAAAAGCTCTCACTAACGTAATAAAAGATATACAAATCGCAAAATTTTTCATTCATAAAAATGAAAAACTTGGCTACGATTTTACTGTTTCTTGGTGAGTTATTGTTAAAGAATTTTAACAAAATATTCACTTTTCTCGGATCTACAATTTTCACACTTGAAAATCATTTGATTTTTCAGCTTTGCCTCAAATGTCTGCTGCCACTTGTCCGGCTTGTCCAACTGGCGGTAAAACTTTCGAAGATGCGATTTCTTATAGATATTTAAGTCCAAAAATGAATCTAACTTGGTGTTATGAAAGGAAAACGATGGCTTTTAGGTGTTTGGACAGGCTGGAGTCGAGCGACAACTTGCTCGGCCACTTGTGGAATGAATGGACAAGTGTTGCAGAAACGCACATGCTCTTCATATAGATGGGGATGTCCGTGCACGTGAGCTTTTTCATCTCTCTTGCTATCGGTTCAAAAGATTTTTGAAGGAATTTAGGATCTAGAAAGCTGGCTTTAGACTACATTTTGTTTACTTTTGTTGTAGTTTGTAAAAGAAAAGTTTTGGCTTTTGAGTGGCAGCTAATAAACGCAAAAATTGGCGCAAAGGAAGAACGAAAAGACGCGGCGCTTTTGACAGCATCTCTGGAGGTGCTGTCAAAAGTGTTGTGCTCCTGGCTTGAGCTATGCGGTCTTGAAAAAGTGAAGAAGCACGGCCAAAAAACGAAAGTAATATTTTAGAGGTGCCTACTCTCGGCTTCAGAAGTGTCCAAATACGCCTTGTGCTACTGCTCCGAAATGTGCTACCCCATACACGGTGCAAGCAGCCACTCAAAAGTGTGGCCCGATCCCGGCCGATCCAGCCCCGGCAACGGAAACTTGCTGTAAGAGTTTCGATTTCAAAAAGAGTACTGTTGATTTCGAAAACTACAGTGCTGACGATTAATTTTCAGTTAATATTGCGAAGATTTCCTTAACTTGAGTTTATTTAGCCGTGGCAGTCGATGCTTGCTGGTGTCCACCAAAGGGTGAGAGTTGTTGTTCTCTTAATCAACCGATGTACTCAACTGTTGTACTCAACTGTTGTACTCAACTGTTGTACTCAACTGTTGTACTCAACTGTTGTACTCAACTGTTGTACTCAACTGTTGTACTCAACTGTTGTACTCAACTGTTGTACTCAACTGTTGTACTCACTTGTTAATCACTTGTCAATCACTTGTTAATCTTTTTCACTAACTATTGAACTAAATTTAAAGCTTATTTGTAGAATGCTTATTTGTAAATGAAAATCTTTTTGTGTAGGACTTTGGAGTGGATGGAAGAATGATGGGACATGTACAAAGACTTGTGGACTTTGTGGGACGGTGAAACAGGAGCGGACGTGTCTCTCCGCTGAGTGGGGCTGCAATTGCACGTAAGTTGAAAGAATATTTCAGTTTTTTCAATCTTTCAAGCTTTAATCGTCTTGTTTTAGTGGAGTGGCAACTCGAACAAAGAATTGTCCACCTGCCCCATGCCCCACCGGTGTTGAATGTTGTCACGCAAAAAAACCGGTAACGAAAAGTATTTCTTTGTTGTTATTTGTTTGTTTTTGTTTAAATATTTGTTTAAATATTTGTTTCCGACAAAATTGAGATAAAAATAAGTTACAGGTGATCAACTTGCAAACGAATGGAACAGTTTGTGGCCCTGTGATCGCTGATGATCCCGTTTATCCGAATAATTGTAGTTAGTTTTGAAAAGGATTAATAGCTGTTATTCGGAACTTATGAATGGTAGGATTTTCTTTTTAAAAAATGCTCTAAATCTTAGGATGCGCAACTTGCACGGCTGCTTCGTTGACCAAACTCACCGCCTCACCCTATTCTGCCTTCACTTCAGGTGAACACACTCATCACTACAGTAGAATTTAACCGTAACAACAATAACAAATAAAATAAAGAAAATTGCAATTTCAGACAATTTCAGGGGTTTTGGATAAAAGTGCTTGTTATAAATTCAACGCGGTGTGCACGTCATTGGCTGGACATCCAGCGAGCATCGAGGTTTTCCCCTTTATAGATCCATCTTTAAGATCTTCTATAGATGATTTCTTACAAAATAAAGTTGACCAAATATTACTTTTATCTATGTTTCACATTTTTCATGTGTTATTTATGTGTTTCAGTTCAACAACGGCGACAACGGGGTGATCACCGGGACACCACAAGTACAAGTGAGTAAAGGAACTGTATTCATGGATGCAAATTGTTTCTATGAGTTTTTTTATAAATTAAAACTCGAAAATTTGATACCTATAATGTAATAAATTGGAATAAAACCAACCTGAACTCAGTTTATTAAAAAAAGGAACCAAATTTAGAGAGATAAGGAACCAAATTTGTCGAGATATGGAACCAAGTTTGTAGAAGAAAGGAACCAAATTTAGAGAGATAAGGAACCAAATTTGTCGAGATATGGAACCAAGTTTGTAGAAGAAAGGAACCAAATTTAGAGAGATAAGGAACCAAATTTGTAGAAGAAAGGAACCAAATTTGTCGAGATATGGAACCAAATTGGTAGAGATATGGAACCAAATTTGTAGAGATAAGGAACCAAGTTTAGAGAGATAAGGAACCAAATTTGTGGAAATAAGGAATAAAATAAAAAAGAGCCTCAAAAAGTGTTTTCCAAAAGTTTCGCAAGAAAGTACAAAAGTTTGGCTGGAAGCGGACTTGAACCCGCGAGCAAGATGGCATAGTTTCGTAGACTAGCGCACTTTCCCCTAGGCTACCTCCGGTCTTCCTTCATTCACGCTCCGACGTTCGACTATAGGCGAGGTGGTAGCTTGCCAAGCTTAGCCAAAATTTTGCACGCGTTTCTCAAAAACTAGCCTCAACTAGGAAAAAATAAAAATACCGTATTTTCTCTAATAGTGGTGCGCAATACTATTTTTTCAACCCGCCTCCTGCCTGCACTACTATTACAGAAAATACGACATATGTTTCTTAGAATTCGACCCGGGCGTTCTAACTAGGTTCAGTTTCGAAAATCGGTGGTAAGTTGAAACAGTTCCCTAGTCATTCTATTACACTTCTCAACCCCGAGCCAGCTAGACTCAATTGCAATTTTTAGTCTTTAGGCTAACATTGCGCGTGCTTCCGATGGATCAGGCTGGCAGTACACCGTTGGAAATGCCACTGTGGATGTGTCAAAGATCGGATGTCTCTCTGTCACTTGTATCAACTCGCCGCAGTTTTGTGGTTAAAGTTTCCTTTCGTTCTTCTTTTTGGATGACTTGAACAAAATCAAAGTTTCTCAGGGTTAATAAAGCATTTGTTTGCAGTCTTTATAGAACAATGTGCATTTTTGGTTTGTCTCATGGAACTATGCAGTGAATAAACAAAAAAATTCAACAAAAGGAATTTTCACGTTCTGCTTTCCATTCTTTTGTGTCTACAGTGGCTCTTCTTTAATTGAAAGTAATAGCAGAAGGAATCACTTTCATCTTTTGTTTTTCCATTTAACTTTACCGGTGTTGAATTTTTTAAATTTCGATATAATCGATCGATGTAAAGAAGAAAAATTGCTATTAACGACTCTGATTTTTCAAAATATTGGGTTGGTGAATTGAAAACTGCGGGCTATTGTCATATGTGACAGTTTGAGCACTTTCTTCAAAAGAAACCCATTTTGGTGTCAATGGAAAAGTTGTAGAGAATCAAAAATCAAGCTTATATCCAAATTTTCAGAACGATTCAAAAACTGGTTTTCAAGAAATGCCAAATTTACGAACTTTCACAAAACTTGCATTTTAAGCGAAACTACTAAGTGTATCTTTTTGGAAATTTGGCTATAAGCCTAATTTTTGATTCTCTACAACTTTTCTATTGACACCAAAATGGGTTTCTTTTGAAGGTCGTGCTCAAACTGGGACATCTCCAGTCCTCCATTTTTGAGTCTCACACTTGTCTCACACACAAACCAAAATTCTACATCGAAAGAGGAATCCGAAAATTGTCGGTAAAATGGGCAGAAGTCGTCAATAATAATGGAAATTATTTGGAATGAATTGATGGTTTTATGTTGAATAAATTTTAGTTCAAAGTCCCGCAGTTTTCAATTAAAAAACACCAACCCAATAAAGAGTTGGCAAAAAGCTGACAAAAAGCTGGGACTGGGAGTTGTACTGGGAGTTGCTGGATAGCAAGACGACCCTTAATGCAATCAAATACAGTGAACAGTTGGGAAAGGTGAATGAATCCCTGAAGAAGAATAGGCCCTCCAAGTCAAAGATCGATTTCATCCACGACAACGCGCGCCCCTTTTGTTGCAAAACTGAATTGCTCTAAAATAAATGGCTTTTTTGGGACTTTTGGCGCATTCCCCATACAGTCCGGACCTCGCCCCTTTTGATTACTATTTATTCCGGATCATGAGTAATGAGCTTGCGGGCGAACACTTCGATTCGGAAGAAGCAGTCAAAAATTGGCTTTGAAAGTTTTTCGATTCAAAACCAAAATCCTACCACGAAAGAGGAATCCGCAAATTGCCTGTAAAATGGGCAGAAGTCGTCAATAATAATGGAAATGATTTGGAATCAATTCATGGTTTTATGTTCAATAAATTTTAGTTCAAAGTCCCGCAGTTTTCAATTCACCAACCCAATACTAGAAAGACTTTGTGTTTTCACTCTTCTTTCCTTTTTTAAAACTTCATCCAAACTCTCTCTCTTCTACATGCAAGCTATAATTTACAGAGAAAAACTTGCTCTGTAAATTATAGCTTTTACTCTCAGATTGACAATTTTTAACTTTTAAAGCACATTGTTCCATAATTTGAGGTCTTCAAGTAGACCAATCAGAAATCTATTCCGGTTTTCTATTGACCAGAAATTGATCAGATACAACTATTCCTTTTTGTTTACGTTTGCAAAATGCGTTTACGATTCGATCGAGCATGGTTGGAAGTTATTTTCCCACTCATTTTAATCGTTGTTCTCTTCGGTGTGTTTTTCTGCTATACCCGTCTAGAGGGTACTTCGAAATTAGTGAGCAGCTAACTGGGGAGCATGGTTGTCGTTTTTATTCACAGCTTGTCTAAGTGATTTTCTGTGCTCTTAATTGACTAGTCGTGGAGAATACAATCTTAAAATCTTAAAAATCCAATCTGAGCCTTATCTTCAAAATCTCAAATATTGCAATGTTTCCATTTTTGTTGTCGCCAAACTCGGCTCCTTCGTGCTCGATCAGCAAATTTGGTCGGGTGCGTTAAATCCGGTGTCGGCACCCTGGGACAGTAATCTGTACCGAAGATTCACGGCTACTTGGTTCTGGGTGAGTGAAACGTTCTGTGTCATATTGCAAGTATTGCTTTTGGAAGAAGGAGGCTCAACTAAAAGACAATAATTAGCTTTGAAGTGGTGGGGGATTCTAGCCCAAGCAACCCCTCACTACTTCACTGCCGCATGGCACTTGTTGAATCTTGTTCACAGCTTTTCTCAAATGAATTGTTGAACCTTTTATACGCGAGGCCTTGCGCCTTTTCCCATTGGCAATCTAACTTTGAGCTCAAATTCCATGGTGTCAAGCTTTCCAATTTAAATAGTTTTTGTAACGATCGACAGAGAAAGACTTGGCGTATCTAATGAAACCAAGAATACCGTATTTTCTCTAATAGTATTGCACCATGAGCGTCGCCTAAATTGCTTGAAATCTCGAGAACCGCTTATCAGAACCTATCGATGTGGGGTTGGAAAATGTAGCTGACGATGAAATCTAGTGGGGATTAGAGTGTTGAGCTTCTGCAAAAGCTTGGAAACCGTCAAATAGTCACCAACTCGGCTCACCGGGGTGCACTACTATTAGAAGAAAATACGGTATTTAAATTTGACAGCCCAGAACCAAGATATTGGAGTTAGATATTGGAGTTCAAAGTTAGATTGCTAATAAGAAACGGGGCGCGTATCAAATGTCCGATAACCCTCAAATATGCATTTTTTTCAATTTTATTTGCCTCTCTGAAACAAGAGAAATTCATAAAATTTAACCCATTCAAAAAAAACCCATTCACTAGCTGATGTCAAATTTTTTGTAAAATCTAAACTCAAAAAACTTCAACCAATCACCAACTGGGGAGCCGCTGAGGTGAGTGGCGTAACCATGAGAATTTCCTTTTCTTTGCAGACATCTTTATGTGCATGGTTGGTGAATATATTTGGCTGTGCGTTTGCCTCAATCCGTCGTCTTCCCTTCTCGCCTGTCATTCGCTATTTCATCATCGTTGATTGCTTGTCTCGTGTCGCCTCGATGACAGCCCCAGTGCTCGTCAATTATTGTGTTATTTTCGGGAACAAGGATCAAGAATGGTTGTGCCATCTGACAGCAAATTTAACTTTCATCCGGTCACCATATTATTTTCAATACTTCAACGATATCACAAATGTCGTACAAATGGGTGAGTGATATCGTGGACAGGACAAAAGGACAAAACTAGTCTTTCAATAGGACAAAACTAGCCTTCCAAAAGAACAAAACTAGTCTTCCAGACAGACCAAAAGACTAAAAACGAATCTTTATCTTTTGTTGCAGACTGAATTCATTACTGATCTCGATTCAGGACTCACCATCAACCGTTTCCTGTGCATCGCATTTGGTGGTCTCTATTTTAAAAGAATTCAAGGATACCCAAGAATGCAAGCGATCTCTGTTTTTTTCGGTGGTTATGCATGGGGCTACGTGGCCCATGAATTCATACAAAAAAGTTTGCGATAGAGATTATTTTGACTGATTAATCTGTGACTTTGCAGCGTTGAATCCATGGCATCTCTATACACCAATCATGATCTCTCTTGATTCCATAATCCTCTATAAAGTTTCGGTCGGTGAAAAATTTTGCTAAAAGGCTAAACCCTAAAAGTTGGAGGCAATTAGAGAGGGAAGGATGATGTGGGCTAGAGTGTGTTCCCTTCAAGTAATGCGTTTTCTAAAAAGGCACCGTAATCCAAGCAAATATTCAAAGTTCTTGAATGTGAATTTGCATTTAAATGGATTTAAACAAAAAAATACAGTTTTTTGCTATATTTTGAAGATAATTGTTACGCTTTAGACAAAATTTTCATCAAAACTTGCGAGTTTTGGTCGAAATCTACTTGTAAGAAATATATATTTATACTTTGATCTTTATAATTTCTTGTGAGACCGTGTCTCGGTGTGGTTTAATGGTAGATGTCGTGAAAGCGCAAAATTTATCAAAACTTTCCCTTATTAGGGCAAACTTCGCTCAAACCGGAGCAACCTGGCACTTGCGTGTGAAAAAAGGATGAATAGAAAAAGGAGCCCACAATTCACTCAAAACAAAGCTTAAATAATGGGTTTTTAGCTACGACAAACGGACAACTGAATATCGTCTAGTGGCTGATTACGATAGTTTATCCATCAGCTTTGAATTTTGACTTGTGTATTGAATTTTGACTAACTGCAGAGCAGTGGCAATTCGCCACACTACTGTTTTCTCTGTTAAAATCCGGTAAATCTATTAACTTAATTAAATTTCTTTAGCGATAAACTAGAAAGCAGTCAAGCTTGCCTTCATTAGTTTATGTTATGAGCAAGATTATGCTAAATGTCCCAAAGCATCTCAAGCAACATTTGACATAAGTGCAACGACTGTTTTTCCGTATTATTGTTAATCTAGAAATAAAATTACTCATCAAAAGTTAATTAAATCATAAAAATAAGAAGAAAAACAAATATAAAAAACACATTTGACTGACAGGAAATAAAAATGAAAATTATTTTGTAAGTTTTCGTTATAAATGTCAAATTGGAAAATAGGTGCAGTTTAGAATGCGCATTACTTGACAATTACCTAAGCAAACAATGTTAAATGCAAATTTATTCAAGGGATTGTTTACTTGAGAGGAACACACTCTAATCTGGACCACTCCCGGACCGACTCGAAATTGTCCATCATGTACAGACGAGCCCGGCCCGGTTCATGTCTCAGACTATACTTGGGGGATGGGAGAACATTCTAAATGTATATATGTCGTAGCCGATGAAGGATTTCAGCCGATTAAGTCTCAGACTTTTTCGACTAGCCGATTAAGTCTCAGACTTCTTCGGCTAGTCGATTAAGTCTCAAAAATGAAATCTTGAGTTATGCATTAACTCAAGTCAATACCACAAACTCAAGCTCTCTAAAAGGCGCTGAAAGGTAAAAACGCATTTCGACCAAACTAAACAACAAAAATAAACAATAATACCAAAAAGCCAACCATTGCTTGCAATGAAAAATGCAAAATGCAACTGCAACTAGAATGCGTTTTTAGCTTTTAAGCGCCTTTTAGAGAGCTTGAGTTTGTGGTATTGACTTGAGTTAATACATAACTCGAGATTTCATTTTTGAGGCTTAATCGGCTAGCCGAAGAAGTCTGAGACTTCATCGGCTGAAATCCTTCATCGGCTACGACATATATACATTACAAAAATCGACAATTAATGTGATAATTTATTTGCTTTACAGTTATTTTCAATGCAAATAGTTGAGTATCAAACTTAACAAGATATTTATTCTGAAATTTCAGAAAAAATCGACTCCAATCTCGACGACCAGCGAGCGATTGTTGATAATGTAAGTGGGAAATTTCTTAAAAAATTTTCTTAAAGAACTCTCGCGAGGGAAAGGCACCGGATCAAAATGGTCTTTCAAAATAAACTGATAGAACTTTTTGCTGATTGCAAATCCGGTTTTAGTTTGGGGTCTTGTAACGCGATAAAAAAAGCTTTTAAACATAGACGAATCGGGGTCAATTTTTGTATGCCAAATATCTCGCTTTACAGGAAACTAGAAAAACTAAAGCCGGATTCGGAATTAGAAAAAAAGTTCTACCAGGTACAGTAGGTCTCATTTTGAAAGGCCACCTTGACCTAATGCCTTTCCCTAGTCAAATGATCGGCAATCATGTACCTTTATCCTTTCAAATCTTCATCGAACCCTATATATCACTTTTTCCTAAATATTTTCAATTGGCTACTCTGATCTCCTTTAGTCTTCGTATGGAAGGAGGAGGCGAAGCTCTATGGAATGGGTGAGTGCATTTGTACAAAGGTTGTATTGGATTGAAATCAAAGCAGTCCTGATCCAATTGTTACACCGGACCCGGGCACTAGATCGCGCTCGGGTTTGCCTCCCATCAAACATGACAAAGGTTTTCAAAAAGTGTGGACATCCTTTGGTTCTGAGCCTATTCCATAACTGATAGTTGAAGCTCTGATTTCTGGTTTACCAATTATCATTAACTGCTGGGTCCTTAACATGTGCAACTCTGATCAATGACCCATTTCCAGGGTTAATCCAAAAAACCAAAACAGACCCAGTCAAGCCAAAACCAGTTTTTTTTTTCTGTTGAATTGGCTTGACCTTGAAATTTTGTACAGGCTGGCAATTCCTGGTTTTTGATTAGCTTCGTTTAGCTTAGAAAAAAAGGCTCTAAGAACAACCCTAGAAAAAGTGTTCCCTGAATCAGACACTACTCTTTTTTTCTGGAATTTTTCAACACTCTACATTTTTCAGGCTCACTACCACTTTTATGCTGTGGTTTGTGAGTAGAAAGACGAAACAAAAGCCCTCAAATATCTCTCTCGTTTCCTCAACGCAGGCTCAAGCGGGAAGCACCAAAAAAACAAGCAACGGCGGCTCAGCCATTGTAGCAACAACACAAATGTGAACAGAAAAGATAGAATATCAATTAGAATGTCAATCTTTTGCTTCTTTCATTAGTTCTATTCATGTTTATTTCAATAAAAAAACAAATAGCTTTGATAACTCTTTTTATTTGTCTAAACTGCAATTTTAGGAGGTAGCCTCGAAAACTTGAAATGCAAAGTATCACAGTCGTTAAACATCTCTTTGAGACTCCTTTTAGTGCTTTTTTTTGCAGTAGAAAAGAGTTAAGCGAATCTTCATCAGTTCTTTGTCTTCATTCCTTCAAATGTTGGCATCCCATTATATAAATTTGAATTTGGCGGCTTGTGCAATGATATGCCGAATGGCCACAGGTCTGGCTTCGATTCCTAGCTTTGATTTTTTAAATTTTTTCTTTTAAATGGCACAACTACAATATATTCTAAGTTTTTTAAAGAAATTTTAGTTTTATTGGTCAAAACACGGCCGAGAAAATGCAGGTACAGACAGACAAACAGACAGACGGACATTGCTCTTTTATACAGTAGATATCTTGCAAAATAAAGTTCACCAAATATAACGTAGATTACTTTTATATATTTTTTACATTTTTCTTTATCCCATTCTTTTACAGAAGGAATGGGATAAAGATTTGTTGTTTTAATATTTGAAAACAAAAGTTAAACGCAATTCAAGAATGTTCCATTGAATCGAAAAATTTGTATTTGATCATCAATTTTGCATTTGTCAACCAAATGACTCGACTGACCAAATGACCTAATTTCAATTCATAGAAGCTAAAATTTCATATCTATGCAGTCGTTTCCAGCAGCTAGCCTGCCCGCCCAACCAGTCTTCTCAGTGGTCAGCACCGGAAGCACAGCAACTGTCAAGGACTTCAATGTAATACTTTTGTAAATTATTAATCAATCAAACTTTTTAGAGATTCAATTTATCTCTTTCAAAATTAGAATTGTGCAGAAAGAATGGGATAAAGATTTGTTGTTTTAATATTTGAAAACAAAAGTTAAACGCAATTCAAGAATGTTCCATTGAATCGAAAAATTTGTATTTGATCATCAATTTTGCATTTGTCAACCAAATGACTCGAGTTTTCTCTCGGCAATTATTTCGGAAAGTTTTGGTACAAAGTCAAAAGCTCAGTCTATCAGATCGATTCATAACACAGTCAACAGGTGACTAGCAAAATTCATGTGATCTTTTCGTGGCGTTAAATCCCATGTTTTCAGGCTGTTTCAGCGCCTCCCTCATTCAGTTTTTTGATCTTTGATGACTCTTTTGATTAGAGTACTAAAAACAAAATCTATTCTTTGTCCTGCAGAAATTTCCCCTTTAAAACTTGCCCCACTCTTCGCTAAGCAGGGGTGTTAGCGGGCGTTTTCCCTACAGATTACAATCTTTGAGAAAGTGCCAAGTGTTTTGTTCGTTCAGCTTGAAAATGCGTCAACGTTTTAAATCGATCATCTTGTGGATTTTGATTTCTTACTTGTTTACGATCTGTGTAACTGAACGAGTGATTGAGTTGACTCCGGAAAATCCATCATTTGCCGTACACGGGACACGAGTCTACGAAATGGGGGTGAGTAGCAGAGCCGGTCCGGATCTTAACGCCTTTTAAAAATAATGCCGCCACCAACAAAATTTCTATTTAGATTATTCAAAAGGTTAATTGTCTCTCTGCAAAATGGCTTTTGAGAAATTCTTGAAAGTAGTTTTTTTGTGTGGATTTTCAAATGCGCAAAAGCGAGCACCCAAAACTGCTCCGATACCGAAGTCGCAATTTGATCACTTTCTTCAATACAAACCTATTTTGGTATTAAAATAGAAAAGATAGAGCTCATTCGATTGCATAAGTCTGTAAAATTTGAAACCTATCCGTTCAGTGATTTTCTTTTCAAGGGTGAGCAAAGGTGAGCACCTAAAACTGTCTAAGTCGCAAAACTGCCCATACCGAAGTCAAAATTTGAACACTTTCTTTAATACAAACCTATTTTAGTGCCAAAGTAAAAAAGATAGAGCTTATTTTATTACATAAGTTTGTAAAATTTGAAAACAATCCGTCCAGTCATTTCCTTTAAAACAGCAATTGAAAATTTTACACAAAAATGCGTTTTTATCGAGTTGAGGCGAGCTTTGAGCTTTCTTTTAAAAGCAATTTTATAGAGAAATTATAGATCTTTTAATAGTTGAGAGCGCAACAAATTTAATAAAGGATTTATTTCGATGGAAACAAAAATTTGAAAAAAATTGTAAAGACTTATAAACCTAATAGATACGAGCTTAAACTATAGAAAGTTTAGCGAAAATGTGCAGGCCTGCTCTTTCCTACTCAACACCAAATGATTTCTTTTTTGTTTTAAGGGCCTCAAAATAAGTGGATGCACAAAATGCGATTTTCTCATCGATTTCTCCCATCGCGGCTGTGATCAACTTCCCAATATGCTTGTCGAAGAAAAAACTGTAGCCCCAACACTAACTGCAAGCCTTGAAACATTTTTTTTTGTTTCCGATTCTCATCATCGAATCTCTATAAACGAATATTTAGAAAATTGAAACGCCAATCGATCTCCAAAATAACAAAAAACTTGTGCAAATCTGTCTCGATGAGTTTCCATTTACGATAAATGGCATAGTTTATACGACTTTAAATTGCAATCTCATGTAGAAAGCAAAAGAAAAAGTTTTCATTAGTGGCTCTTGTAGGTATTTGATCCCAAGCAAAATGCAGCTTCTTTATTTTTGTTCTTTCATTCTAAAGAACGGAACGGAATTGGTGGTGAAAGCTAAGGATGTCGAGGCTATTAAAAATTATGCTCTCTCATTTCGAGTTCGTCAATGGGTGAATGGTAAGTCTGCTTAGGGTTTAGTGATCTTCTATCAAGCATTTTCTGGAGAAAGAGGGGGATTAGAGAATCCTTTTTTAGAAAGCCAACAAGTTTTGGTTGTTCCTGGGAGTCCGACGACACGTTTATCTGGATATCTGGTCGTCGAGGACGTTTTGGTTCGGCCCGGATGGATTGTCACAGTGGTAGCAAATCCCGAGATCTATCGGTTTGTTCAAAAAAATTCGAAGCTTCTATGTTCTGTTTCCCATGATTGCGCTATTTAGTGGTACAAACTCTGGCCCACTAATACGGTTGTCGCCGGTTCCAAAAGAGCTCGATGATACAGCTGATTGCGGAATTTATCAGGTTTGTTTTCTTCTCGATCATTTGATTGTTTCAGAGCCTATCAATCTTTATAGGTTTTTATAGTTAACTTTAGGTAGACTTGACATGCGATGGGAGTGTACGATTCAAGTTTTTCTTGGGACCTGCCCCGGCACCCAATCAAACAGAAACGCTCGACTACGACATAAACATGTAATTAAATCTAGTTACATCTTTAGATTCATAAATACTCATTCATAAACCTTTTTCTCAGCATTAAATCGATTCCATTTCGAACAAGTGTTGCCTCTTTTTATACCCAAAGTGACTGCAGTTTCTGCTTGGAATTTCAGTCTTCTCTTGACGGTTTCAGTGTATTATTTGTAAGCTAGAAACTTTTTTTTGTAGGTGAGCTGAGCCTGGACACGGATTCGTTCAATGTTCTCAACTATCCATCAATTCTCACCTCTTACAATTATCCATGGGTGTTTGATGATCCGCGAGACTTCGAGAAATGTCAAGATTTTTATCCATATTTCTCTGCAAATTTTGTATGTTTTTGTGGGGTAATAAAACCGTAAATTTTCAGCCGAAATCGCAGAGAAAAGTTTGGATGAAGGTGGAAAAGTTGGAGAACGGATGGTTGGAGATTATCACAGCGCTTGATGAATCGTCGGATCGTAATCAAAATGAAACATTCAAGTGAGCAAGCCATCTTCCATTCTGTCCCTAATGAAGGCTGTTAAGTCCAACTTTTCGATTGAATCTAAAACAAAGCTATTCTTAGGCTGTTCAAGGCAAGATTTTCAGGTCTAACTGGCCAGGGCCAGGGGTCAGGCCAGGGCCTGACTGGCCTCAATCTGATCCACATATACTCCTTAAACAACTGTTTTCAGTTTTCAATTTAGGTTTTCAGAAGACTAAAGAATCAAATTTTGTTGTCTCTAACTTTCGTGTTCAATAAAGCTCTTTAAGTATCTATGCTGCTTCAAATGAGCCTTTCGAGTTCCGTGCCGACTGTGTAACAGTGAGTTAAAAACATTTATTGGATTGAGGAGCGTGAAAAGGCGTCGAACTTTAACCTTAACTTTAAAGACACTTTTTGCACACATAAAACCTTCTTTAAATACAATTTTTGTTTCATCAAAAGGCTTCACTATTTCTTTACAAAATGACTTTTAAAAAATTCCATAAAGCTTTTCTTTCGTGGAGTTTATCGATTTCCAAATATCGTTAGTCAAAATGGCAAAGAGTCTGACTTATCAGTCGTCAAAGAGTTTGACCAGTTTCTTCTAAATAAACATTCTTTGGTGTCTAAATAAAAAAGATAGAGCACACTCAATTACATACATTCCCAAATTTTCATGAAGATCCCTCCAACGGTTTTCTTTAGATGACAGTTTATAGATTTTATGTAAGGTAGGCCTTTTGTTGAGCTGAAGCGCTGTTTGAGTTCTCTTTTAAATGTCATTTTGTAGAAAATGTAGATCAGAGAGGCTAGGTTTAGCCTCTGTCCTCCTCCGGGAAATTTACCTGAGCCACTCAGAGCTCAGATCAGCACCTGGCTTCTAGCTGGCCTTGGTCTTTTCCGGATAGTAAGCTCTAAAGCCAGAAACATCCCTGGCACACGTTTGATTTTTGATAGATTTTTTAACAAAACTGAATTCACAGGTTCGCTTTTGTGCCAACTCGACTGAGAATCGTTTCGGCTTTCTACTTATACTGAATCGATCAGTCTTGCCGAGAGAAGAAGTCGAATGCTCAAGAACATACATCTTAACGAACGAGGAATCCCAAGTGATATTGAATGGAAATGATCTGTATGAGTGGGGTGAGTAATTTCCAGAAAATCTGAAATCTATCTAAAAGATAAGTAATCAGAAGTATTTAAGCGACGTTTGATGCTGCTGGCATTTTGTGCTTTCGATGCAACCGGACACAAATTAAAGATTGCGAAATGCTACTTGAAATCTCTTCTTTTGCTTGATTGAGCAAACAGTTTGTGGTTTGAAAATATTTCTCAAACGGCATCCTTAAAATAAATCTAAAGTCTAAACTAATTTGGGAAATTTCTGATTTCAGAAAGAATGTCTCGATCAAACTCCACTTCCGATCAACGGCGTCTACGAAAAACCAGTAGCCACCCGAATCAAGTATTCTTTTCTCTAAACTATTCAATTTTTTTACTTCTTTCGTTACTCGATTTTGAAAGAACCATCTTTTGAGATCTTTGAGATCTTCTGAGAGCACAGCCTCTTTGCCTTCAACAGACACCAAAATCTAGGACCTCACCGAGAAACGACAGCATTGTGTTGATGAGCCAATACACCATCAAGAAGTTTCTCTATCTTCTTTTCTACGACGAATTTGGTATTACACAATCGGCAATATCGATTCGTCTTCTTCAAAATGATTTGCGTGAGTTGTGAAGAATAGTTGCCTTTTGTCCATTAAATGAAATAAACGTTTAGAAGCTGGCTTTTGGCTTTTTCCGTCATATTTAGCTAGATCCTACGAGCCCATTCATTTTCGTTTTGAACAAAGCGAGACGCCGATATGGATTTCCCTTTCGCTCTCACATCAAGCGATGCCTATTATTCAGAAATTTCGCTCGGTTTGCACCAAATACACAACCGTTAATAAGTCATTTTTTAACAAATGCCTATTATATCCTATTAGTGAAAAGTGATAAATATTGGGTTGGTGAATTGAAAACCACGGGCTATTGTCATATGTGACAGTTTGAGCACTTTCTTCAAAAGAAACCCATATTGGTGTCAATGGAAAAGTTGTAGAGAATCAAAAATCAGGCTTATATCCAAATTTTCAGAACCATTCAAAAACTGGTTTTCAAGAAATGCCAAATTTACGAATTTTAACAAAAATTGCATTTTAAGCGGAACTACTAAGTGTATCTTTTTGGAAATTTGTTTATAAGCTTAATTTTTGATTCTCTACAACTTTTCCATTGAGACCAGAATGGATTTCTTTTGAAGAAAGTGCTCAAACTAAGGCATCTCCAGTCCTCCATTTTTGAGTCTCACACACAAACCAAAATCCTACCACGAAAGCGGGATCCGCAAATTGCCTGTAAAATGGGCAGAAGTCGTCAATAATAATGGAAATTATTTGGAATCAATTTATGGTTTTACGTTCAATAAATTTTATTTCAAAGTTTTTTAGTTTAATTTTAGATTTTAGATTTTTTCTAAAATTTTTTAAATTTTAGTTTTAGTTTTCAATTTACCAACCCAATAGATCTTAAAGAGTTTGAAAAATGACTTAAAGAAGAAAATGCGAATAGAATCATTCATTTCTTTAGGATCATTCAAGAAATGCTTGCGAATATCAATTCATTGTCGGCCCTCCGGCCAATATCGATCATCATCCTGAGCGAAAGCTCTACAGTTTTCGGTTTAAACAAGTTAAAAGTCACCCAATCATCTTTTCAGTGACCAACAACCCTTTATTCATCAATACCTTCAGTCAACTCTTTACAGCGTTTTCATCCCGAGTGGATGTGCACCAAGTTTTTCAGTCAACATGAGCTTGCTTCGTAAGTGATCCGTTTACTTGATCTCTCATTGAAACTACTCAAGTTTATTTTTAATCATGACTCTGCTTAAAGATCAATTTGGGTTTCTTGAAATCAGAACCGTATCGAAAACTTTTTCGAATGGACAAAGTGGTTTGGTTGATTATAAAATGGTTTTTTGGATTTAGTGCTTTTGCTATAAGATTTATTGCTAGCTGTTAATTCAATTAATTAATGCAGTTTTTAAAGTTTTGTATCATTATCTCACTACCGTTACAGAAATCATCAAGTAACCTATCTGGTTGTCAACTAAATAACTAAACTTTTTTATTAAAAATTGCTTTTACAAATGTTGAAATGAAATACGGTTTGCATCATTGGAAAGAGCTAGATTTTCTCTGAAAAATGGTTGTTAGCAATTTAGAAAAGCTTTCGTTTTTGGGAGTTTTCGGGAGCGCAACGGCGAGTAGGGAAAATTGACGAGAATCGACGGTTTGGCAACTTTTTTGATGAGAACTGACACTAACTTTCTATGCCAAAGAAAGATCAATCTCTGTCGGTAAAATCGGCGCTTCATTTCATGTTTTCTTCTCTATGTTCATCTAACATAGACAATAAGCTGACTAGCTAGAAACAACCTAGAAATACATAGCTTACTAGCTTATTGTCTAGCTTATTGTTAGATGAACTACAAAATCGATTAGGCCGTTTTGAGAAATACATTTTTTCAGAGCCAATATCCTGGGACACGTGGAAACAGAAACAAGAGATTTGCAACGGAGAGACGATCATCCTTTCACACGGATATCAAGATCCAACTCGTTTGCCAAAAGCTCCAGAAGATAACGGCTACGAATTGCAACATGATATTTTTTGTTGTAAGTTAAAAGGAAAGGCTTATCCTTAAGTAAAACTAAAGATGAAAGTGAGGACAACAAGTAGTCCACAAGTTCCCAACCTCTCGCTTATTCCCAAGATCTAGACAAATCAATCATTCAAAATGAAAATCGATTCCTGAGAAATGTATAAGGTCAATACTTAGTCCAATATATACAATGCTGAAGTAGTACTCTGTGGAAATTTTTGTGTAAAAGAAAGGGAAGAAAATAAAGGAACTAGTCTGTTAAAAGATATTTGCAAAGAAATTTAGATAGTTTTACGGTTAATATCACCGTCGAGGTGGTGTCGATCGGAAAAGGGAGATTATGGTTGACTTTTCATGATCGAGACAGAAAGCAAAAAAGGTAAATGTTAATGTTCAAACATTAACATATTAAAATACAATCAAATTCAATAAATTTGAAGATAACCTCATTAAATAATTAAATTTAGAGTCAAAAACAACACCGAACCGTTTATGGCAGCGAACGTTAGTGGAATTTTGGTGAGAAGAAAGGAAAGTAAAGAAAAAGTGCAAAGAATAACTTTAGATACATTGGCTGAAAAATGGATTGAACTATCCAATGGATGGACTATTTGTAAAAGTTTCGATTGTTCAAAGTCATTTGCCAAATCATAAAATTGTTCTACCAACTGTCTCTTCTACAAGCTTTAACCTAGCTAGCTGCTTTTTCCCTCTTTTCCTACTTTATTTGCATTAAATGTTTATAATTTGTACTGTAAAGCTAAAAAAATTAAAAATCACTGAACCTTATGTTGTTTACCACCACAGAAAATTGGCAAAATCAAATGAACAGCCAAATTTACATACAAAAAATTTGACAGAAACCCGCCCCTTTCCAGCCTTTTACTCTAGTATTCATTTTGCTTGGTTTTAAGAAAATCTGTACAGCTTAAATACAAGTACAAGTACAGCTTAAATAAATTTAAATCTGGACAGCTTAAATACCAAAAGATAGAAAGAAGATAGAAGATAGATAAAAAAAGATAAAAGCTTAAGTTCCCAAAGATAGAAAAATGAGTAAACGATTCGAAAAATACAGTTAAAAAGATCACAATTTGTTCAGTGTTCAGCTTCACTGTTGAGATTAACCTTAAATGAACAAAAATTGTTAATCTTTCTAGAAAATTCTCCTCAAATTTCATTGAGGAGTCACTTTCATGTTTTGTTTTTCCATTTAACTTCACAGGTGTTGAATTTTTTAAATTTCGATGTAAAGAATAAAAACTGCTACTGACGAATCTTATTTTTCAAAATACTAGAAAGACCTTGGGTTTTCATTCTCTTCTTTTCTTTTTTAAAACTTCATTTGTGCCTTCCTTTATTCATTTGGCTGCTATTTTTCTAAATGTAAATAGTTCTATAATGTCTTTTATTTTTCAATCTTGGATAAAACGATTTTTACTTAACAAACGAACGGTAATGATTTGTCCAAAATAATAATGAAACCATAGGATCCTCTTCCAATTTCACTCCCTTTCATTTGCTTTCTGAAACGATTTCAGTTCAAATCGATAATATTGGGTTGGGGAGAATGAGTCGGCGCCGAAAATGAAAAAAATGTCTAAAACTTCTATTCGACTTCGTCAAATAATATGCGTTTGATATGAGTAGAATGGTTAACTAATTCTCTACAAAATGGCATTTAAAAGAAAATTCAAACAGCGCCTCCGCTCAAGAAAAAGCCATTTTTTCACAAAAACTACAAACTGTGATCTAGAAAAAACCATTGGTGGGATCTTCCTGCAAATTTGGCAACTTAAGTAATTGAATGTGCTCTATCTTTTTTATATAAACACCAAAGAAGGTTTATGTGAAAGAAACTGTTCAAACGGTGAGTCGGACTCTTTGCCATTTTAACCAGCTGCGTTTCGAAGTTCATAAACTCCACGAAAGAAAAGCTTTGTCGAATCTCTCAAAAGTGATTTTGTAGAGAAATAGTGGATCCTTTTGATCAAACCAAACGTATGTTTAAAGAAGGCTTTCTGTGTGCAAAAAGTCCCTTTAAAGTTTGGCGCCGACTCATTTTCCCCAACCCAATAAATCGCATTTCAAAAATTAAAACATAAAACAAAACCATTTTCTTTCACTTATCTTGTTCCAAAAAAGTCCACTGGCAAAATGAAGGCAGAAGGCAAAATCCACTGGTTTTTCGGTGGATTTTACTTTAAAAAGAAACTAAAGGCAAAATCGACTTGAAAACGAGTGGATTTTACCTTATAAAGTAACTAAGGGCAGGTTCCACTGGCTTTCCACTAGATTTTACCTTATAAAGAAAGTAAGGGTGAAATTTACTGGATTACCTGTAAATTTTGCTTTCTTTATTCAATACTTTATTCAACATTCAATATATTCAAGAATTTAACATTATAAAGCTTATTGTTCATTTATATCTTCTTCGGAGTATATCTTGTTCGGAGTTCTGGATTTTTTCGATATTCTTACATTTAAAATAAAAGTGTGAATTTCATTTTTATATCAGAGCTCTTGAATTTAAGATTCTGATTTGATTTAGCAAACAAGAAGTAAACGAAATTATAATTATTATGTGGTAAATCTAAAATGAAAGAAAGATATAAATTTGATGCCTAGATACAAATTATGTGTACTCCAATCAACTTATTGGTTATATTGGCTACTGCTACATTGGCTATATTGGCTACTGCTACTGCTACTGCTATCAAAATTTGCCGATGAAAAAATCAGAGAGATTCGTTTGATTTTGATTGAGCTGGACTCTTGGAATGATAGAATGATAGCCTTTGATTTTGTGTCACATTCTTTAAATCATATTCTACAATTTTGAGAGTTTTCACTGATTGTCGTCTGTTCAAATGAAAATTGAAAGATGTTATTTACCAAGGAACATGCACAACAACAAGCTTTTTATTATGAGAACACATTTTTCGTCATAACAAAGCGTTTTCTCTAACTCAGTGGCCGCTGCTTGCAGATGAAACGTCCGAATTTGTGATTGACCCATGTACTGTACCAATCGTAGACTTTACTTGAACAAGCCTCACCCGAGTAGGTTGAAGCTTTTGGTATCTAGAATTAGTTTACCAATAACTCAAAATAGTTTCCGCAAACGATACTGGCCATCGTCAGTAACCCAGTCAAGTCTAACAAGCTATGTAGCTAAAAATTTCTAGGCTTAGAATCAAACTTTTAACAGAATACTAAAAAGGAGTTTATTTAAAGTTCTATATGTAAATCTTGAACGTGCAAGTATAAAGTAGTCACTCTCAACTAACAAAAGAAAATTTTTTTGTTTGATTTCATCACTTTACTTCATCACACTCACCCCCAAATATCCAGTGCCACCCAAATATCCGAACGAGTAATCGACGGGTGTTCCATCAGTCCATCTTCCACTTCCGACATTTCCGTCTCCATTGTCCAATCCAAGCCACACATAGTGATTCTCCGCGCACTTAGACACTTCGTCCCTCGGGGTCATATCTAAACTTTTTGTCTCATCAGCATCAGCATTTAAATCGACTTGACTGAGTCAACTAAAGAATAAATTTAAGTTGGAATCTGACTTGCAAATTTGAAATGCAAATGCAAATGCAAATTTGAAATTGCAAAACAAATTTACTTAAAAGATATCTATTATTTAAGCTAATAGAAAACGAGAAAAAGGTCTTTTTGATCTTTTTGGTTCTTGAAAAATGAAAAGTCTTTAGAAAAATGGTCCTTTTGGTTCTTGAAATGACAACTTTGTAAAAAAGGAAAAAAACAAAAAAAAGAGAACAACTCTTTAAGTTGAAAGAAACATTAAAAAGAGAACAATTCAAATCTTTAATTCAACACCAAAAGTGCACTTCTATTCAATAGATAAGTGAGCTTATTGTTGAACAAAGCACACTACTGATCCAAAGTGGTCAAGTTCCAATTGTTCCAAGTGCCAAATGCAGAGATTCTTCTGCTGTTAGGCAACAAACATATCATGATTATAGTGATTTGTTTTTACAACTAACTGTAAACATAGTCATCTTCATGAGCTGAGTGCACTGATGCCAAATGGCCTCCATCCTCTCGACAATATGATTCAGCTTCGGAAAAACTGTACACCGTTCCCATTATGACGTCGTATGGCTAAATTCCATGCTTTATTTTTGTTGGTTATTATTATCATACGCGTATGTAATAACAATAGCCGGTCCCATCGAAATATTGGTAACCGGGAGTACAAAATGGAAGAGGTGTAGTTTTGAGAGGCGGCAGAGTTGCTTAATTAAGTGTTTATGTTAATGATGGGTAAAACAAGCTTTTCGTCTTTTAGCACAATTATTGGGTTGGTGAATTGAAAACTGCCGGCTATTGTGATATGTGACAGTTTGAGCACTTTCTTCAAAAGAAACCCATTTTGGTGTCAATGGAAAAGTTGTAGAGAATCAAAAATCAAGCTTATATCCAAATTTCCAAAAAGATACACTTAGTAGTTTCGCTTAAAATTTGTGTGTTCTGTGTGCTCTTTGTGCGGCGGCGTAATCGCTCGTCGTCTGGCGCAGGACTTTTGCATAACCCCCTTCCCTCTTTCCTCCCAAATCTCATCTGATGGTTTCCGAATCCTCAAATTCGATAGTGACTTCTGCGCAAATCAAGGCTAATCTCAATCTATTGGGTTGGTGAATTGAAAACTGTCGGCTATTGTGATTGTGACAGTTTGAGCACTTTCTTCAAAAGAAACCCATTCTGGTGTCAATGGAAAAGTTGTAGAGAATCAAAAATCAGGCTTATTTTAAAAATCAGGCTTATATCCAAATTTTCAGAACGATTCAAAAACTGGTTTTCAAGAAATGCCAAATTTACGAATTTTTACAAAACTTGCATTTTAAGCGAAACTACTCAGTGTATCTTTTTGGAAATTTGGATATAAGCTTGATTTTTGATTCTCTACAACTTTTCTATTGACACTAAAATGGGTTTCTTTTGAAGAAAGTGCTCAAACTGGGACATCTCCAGTTCTTCAGTTTTGAGTCTCACACTTGTCTCACGCACAAACCAAAATCCTACTACGAAAGAGGAATCCGCAAATTGTCTGTAAAATGGGCAGAAGTCGTCAATAATAATGAAAATTATTTCGAATGAATTCATGGTTTTATGTTCAATAAATTTTAGTTCAAAGTCCGGCAGTTTTCAATTCACCAACCCAATATAAGCCACACATGTTTATGTAATAAGATGGGATGAAAAGTATTATATTTCTTTGAAAAAAATCAAACTTTGAATTGTGGTAGGTAGAGGCGGAAGTACACAAAAACACGGTCGTGGTTGCGAGCAATCGGCGGCCGACCAACGAAGATTTTCCGTCGTCATTAGGGCACAATTGTAGCCAGATGCGTTTCTTGGCTCATCTGTAGCTAGTTAAAAACACAATCAAATTGTCATCTTGTCATAAATAACTTTGTTTTCCCTACCAGGTGCCCAATTTCGATAGGTTAACGCCGAGTGATCTTGGTAACTCCATGAACCGTTTGCCAGCTTCTGCACACCGATCCATTGCTGAGTTGCGTTGAAATCTGAATTTTTTTAAGGTTTATTCGTTTCAAAATCTTTTATAATACATAATTTACACTATTTACGTATTTCACAATTGTTGGCCACATGTTTAAGGCGTTGTTTTAGGTGTGTTCAGTGAACTTATGAACAAGAAACACTCAGAAAACCGTTGTTGACTTGATTTGTAAGTATTTAAGTTTTTTATTTGAAAATAATGAACTTTTTGATTTCTATAAGGTACCAATTCACTCACATATGCTAGCCATCGAAAAAATGTAGCTATTCTCAAAAGCGTTCGTCACTTTCGACACAACTCCGCCCAAAGTCCCGCATTGCCAAACGGCATCTTGATAGAACTGGGCTGAAAAGAACACAACGATTTCATGACTTTTACAGAAATAAAGTTTAATTACTAAACTAAACACTGGTCGCTTGTTCAACTCTGGTTGATTGGTACAGATCAATCAGTTTTTGCAGACTAAAATCGACAAAACAGTGGATATACAGTCGAACTTCGATATAAAGAACCCTATATTCAGTTCCAAACTTTTAATAAGTCTACTTTGAGAAAGAAAGAAGTTAAGAAACAACCTTCGATATAACGAAAACTTTTTGGGGATGAAATATAGTATTTCATTTCCATATAACGAATTATTTGCTAAAATGTGGGCAAAATCAAAATGGATTCCTGCTTTTTGACTGAATATCTAATTTTTTACTCAATTTGAAATACTTTTGCAATTAGCTTGTTTACTGCTTGGAACGTTTTTATCTTAAGTGTGCTTAATGTAAAGTTTTCTTTCTTATTCTTTAATTTTTGAGTACATTATTAGATTTTAGGTGAGGGAAGTCGACGCGTCGATCGACGATTTCGCTTTGAAGAAGCGAATACTCGAATACAATCAACTTCGAAAGGAACGGCTGAATTGGCGAAGGACTTCAAATTGCTGCGATCAACAATCTAACCAATTCTTAGGATGATGTCATTATGGAAGCGTGAAAGAGTAGCTGCAAAAAGAGCACGATTGAAGGCGAGCAAATACGAATCAATCGAAGAGTCTGTGCTTCTTTGGCTCAAGCAAATGTCAAGCCAAAATGAATGCTTCGAAATCTGCTTCGAAAGCGATAGAGTTGGCAAGCTTGAAAAGAATTAACGATTTTCAAGCGAGTAGCGGTTGGCTGGATAAATTCAAGAAGCTTTATGGAGTTGTTTTTGCAACGTTTCCTTGCTAACTTGTTTTCAAAATAAACTTGTGATAGAAACTTCTATATAGAGGATTAGTCAAAAAAAAACAATGCTGATTTGTTTCTATACAACGAATTTCGATATAACGTACACTTTCATATAACGAATTTTTCGACCGGTTCCTTGCAGTTAATTGTATTGAAGTTCGACTGTATATGTTACGTTCGATTACGATCACATGTCCAGATCAGATCCGGACGCGTGGTTTTTTAATCGGGCGTAACATATGTGTCGTAGCCGATTATGAATAAAATTTTTTGGTAAATCTTTCTAGTAGAGCAACCCTTTAATTTATGAGGACAATATTATATTATCTTGTAGCGAATGAAATTCTGCGTCGATTGGTACCAAATTTGTGAGTTTAGGTTAAAAATTGCCAGCGCTACGTTTCATTCAAAATCGGCGGGATCCCCATAGCCGGCGGGACCCCCGTAGATTATGAATTTCAGCCAATTATGAATGAGTGGGTCTAGGAAGCGTCCAACCATCAAGTATTTGGTATCATTCAACGCAGAATCATTGATAATTATGTTAAATTTTTAAAATTAGCAAGATTTGATAAAAGGAAAAAAAATTAGAGCAAAAAAACCGTTTGTTCAAGAGAAAACTTTGAAGCCCCATAATTTTTTTCTTTTTATGCAATCTTTCTAATTTAAAAAATTTAACATAATTATTAAATGATTCTGCGTTGAATGATACCAAATACTTGATGGTTGGACGCGTCCGGACCCGCTCATTCATAATCGGCTACGACATATATACAGTATACATCATTAAATCTCCAAAAAATGAAGATTGATTTCGGGTTATTAGTCATCAAAAGCTTGTGATAAATAAAACGAAAACTGCTACGCGAAAACTTCACATACGATCAGCGATCGGATACAGACAAAGTTGCTCATTTGGGATTGGCGATGAGCCTGGAGGGCAGTCAAATCCGTCCACCACAACAAACAGGAAAAAGAGGCCGAATGGAGAGCTTTTCATTGAAAATCCCTGATTAGTAAATAACTGGGCACAATGGGGAAAATCTCAAAAATGAACTAGCCACTTATTGCCTTATCAGCTTAGAATAGAAATAAATGAGAGGCTCTATCAGAAAATTCAATTTCCGGTTCAATCTTTTCTTTCGTAATTCTATGCTCTTATCCAATGAAGCAATAAAATTTTATTACAAACAATTTTACGTTCAAAAATGAACTTTGAAACTATAATGGTAGGCAAACTTTTGAAAGACTCAATAAAAAAACGTTGACAAAGGATCAGCTATGCAAATAGTCTGCTCAGTCTCATCTGGTAATTAGTCAATTAGCAGTCAATATTCCCAAGTAAAACACTGCTTTTTTTTTCTTGGGAACATTATTTCTCGACGCAGAGGAGGTCTTTCAAAAAACTGAAATATTCAGAAGAAAGCCCTAAGTCTAAGGAAGATTTCATACGCTGAGTTATAGGTTAAAAATTAACTTTTTAGTTACAAAAAATCAAAAAACCGAGCGGCGCCGGAGGAAAAATAGAGGCACCGGAAAAATTCGAGTTCTTTTCATCAAAACATTTCATAAAAAGTTGTGCTCCAAATCATCGAATGGTTTTTGTTGCAGCAATTCCAAAAAGACGGTGGCATTCAAGAACATTTGCCTCCAAAATGCATTTCAAACAACTTGCTATCGAACTTGACAACCGGATATGGACACTTCTTCCAGTACATGGACACTTCTCCGAGTACATGGACACTTCTTCAAGTACATGGACACTTCTCCGAGTACATGGACACTTCTCCGAGTACATGGACACTTCTCCGAGTACATGGACACTTCTCCGAGTACATGGACACTTCTCCGAGTACATGGACACTTCTCCGAGTACATGGACACTTCTCCGAGTACATGGACACTTCTCCGAGTACATGGACACTTCTCCGAGTACATGGACACTTCTTCAAGTACATGGACACTTCTCCGAGTACATGGACACTTCTCCGAGTACATGGACACTTCTTCAAGTACATGGACACTTCTCCGAGTACATGGACACTTCTCCGAGTACATGGACACTTCTTCAAGTACATCGATACTTCTTCGAGTTTGGTTACACGCAAAACAAAAAAGTTTTATTATCAATAAAACCAGTATACAATTTGTGACTTTACTGAGCATTTGTGACTTTTAAGCCAAACTTGCTTCAAGGAATTGGCCTACTCAGTGTTGTGCATTCAGACAAAACAATCTCCATCAGCTTGTTGTCAATTTGCTCAACATTACTAATAAAAACAAAATTTTGATTTTTTTTCCTTTATAATTCCAATGTAGTTTCTTGATTTTATAAATTCCTTTATTTTTTTTTTATTATTTAATTTTGTACATGTGAAATGAAAAACTTCAAAGTAATGCATTGATAAATCATATTTAAAAATAAAAACTACAGTGAAATTGAATAAATTGTAAGCTGGAATTATTTTATCACTAAATATATACTGTAAAAATTCTAATAGAAGACCATGGTCTTCTAATTTTCAACACCTCAAAATTGAACGATCAAAAAATTAGATAAAGGTCAAATGAATCAAAAAATTCAAAATTATTAAAAACTTTAAAGATAATTCAAATAAGATAATTAAATAAGATAGGCAATAAGATAATTAAAAATTTCGGTCGATTCTCATCCCCATCATCTTTCCCTTTATCATTCTTTTGTGAACCGTGTTAGTAGGGTTTGGAATAAGCTCCCCTCTGGTATCTGCTCTTCTGTAGGAAAATTGAAAATATCTGTAAACGAATTAGATCTTATTGCCATGTCAGATCTCCTCTAGATTTAATCTTCTTGTATCTGTATTTCCTAACTGTAGTCTTACTGTATTATTTTTAGTTTTCTTTCTTTTTTGTAAAAGTATTGTAGCAATATGTTATATGCGGTTATGATTATCTAATTCGCTTCTATTCGCCCCAGCATTGGGTCCTGAAGTGGTAGTGATCTCGGCTGATCGTTTGCAAGACGGTGAAGCGTTGGTGACTGAAGAAGTGCATCTCTTCAACCCAGACAGCCAGATCACGGGCACAACTCTATCGTTCTTCGACTGTGGTACCAACAAAACGTACATGACGAGAAAAGCAGCTGATGCTCTCAAGCTTTTCAAGCTACTTGCTCGCATTGCAAGTTAGAGGGACGAGAGGCTTGAAGCAGCCACGTGGAGCTATCAAGCGACAACCCAGAGTGGGAGAGGTTGTGCTGGTGCACGAGGAAAACCGTCCTCGAGCTGCTTAGAGATGCGCTAAGATTGCGCGAATCATTGAAGGGGTCGACAACCAGGTCCGATCTGCTGTGATCGAGATGGAAAATGGTCGCCAATCGCTGCGGTCAATTGCCCTTCTGTACCTCTTGGAAGGAGATGTTGTAGAAGAGCAAGCCGCAGCCGATGAAGGGCCAAGGGAAGTAGCACGGGAAGAGGTGCTTGTGAACACGCCCCCAGAAAAGAGGCACGAAGACGGTGAAGATAACAAGAAAGCGCCCAAGGTACAACTTGCGCACAAGAAAGCCGAAGAACTATGTGTACTTCGTGCTGGTGACCTTGATGTCACTGATGAGCGGGACATCCGCGAGTGGATGCCGGGGAGTGCTAGTCTACCAAGAGTACTGCCTCCCAAACGGTCTTGCTGTCTACAACAACGACGGGAAAGGATGTGCTGAAGACATCGATTGCGGGGCATGCATCTGAGAGCAGTGAGCATTGACAGTCCGACGAAAAGGAAAGCGAGGATCACCGGTCAACTCGTTTACGTTCCAAACTACGGAAATCGATGGGTCACTGGAGACGCGACAATGAAGGAGCGATCAATGTGGGACGAGATGAAGGAGTTCGCGGAGGCGGTGTTGACAGATCATCTACCCATCCTTCTAAGTTTTATTGCCGTAATGCTCCTCTTGCCCAAGCTTATCAAATTTGTTGTTAGATTGTTCTTTTGACTTTTTGCGCGCGGGAGTGTGCAGAAAAGTGGCTCTTTTCTGTGAAATCTTATTTAATGTTTTGATTTTGAATATCTCTGATTCTCCTGCCCTCTAAAGATCGTTTTGTGTGATAAAGGGGACGGAGGCCACTTTGTATTGCTTTTCATTGGCTTTGAGACACTGAACCAACGATTGATTCTATTTTATTATATTTTCTCGCTAGATTAGTAATTGTGTTATATTCGGGATAAATACCTAATAATCATTGCCCCATCGGTATCCTCTCACGCACTGCACACTCATTTTGGCACACTATTCCCATGTTTTTGTCTTTCAAATCTTTTTCCTAGCTTCCATAATTGTTTATCGAAAATTTTTTGTTATCAACGAAAACTCGATTATATCGGTAATTAGATTGAAGCTGCATTTTTGTTCTTTAAAAGTCGGTAAAAGTCGGTATCTATGGTTACTTTGCAAAGTTGAAAAGACGGAAAAAACTTTCGAGAGTTTTCAGAGAACGAAAATTGATAATTGACCACGAAACACTTTGAGATCCAAAACATTTTTGCCTTTTTTGCCTACCTCATTTAAATAAACTTTTCAGAGAAGATGAACAACGGCGATGATTTTTTTTCTTCTCTTCAAGATCATTATGGGACTTTTTATCAACCCGATTTCAATCACCTTATCGGCAATACGGACTACAGTCAACAATTCAACGGTAATTAGATTGAAGCTGCATTTTTGTTCTTTAAAAGTCGATATCTATAGATAATTTGCTTAAAAAGAAGGCAAAAAAAACTTTCGAGAGTTTTCAGAAAACGAAAATTGATAATTGACCACGAAACGCTTCGATATCCAAAACATTTTTGCCTTTTTTGCCTTTCTCATTTAAATAAACTTTATCAATTTTCAGAGAAGATGAACAACGACGATGATTTTTTTTCTTCTCTTCAAGATCTTTATGAGACTCTTTATGAAGCCGAATGGGCCTATCATGTGACACAAGAAAAAGCTGAAGTCAGTTTAAATAATAAAAAACTTAAGAAGAAATACCTGCTATAGCCAATAAAAGCAACCAAAAAACATCGAATTCTCCGAAACAATAAAGGGGAAATTGAACAGCTGAACTTACAACTCGAATTGTAATCAAAGTCTTAATATATTTTTCAAATCGATACTGATAATAAGTTTGAAAAAACCTTATTCCGACTGTTTACTTCAGTTTTTTTCATAGATTTAACGAAATCATAATAAATTTCATTTTTCAGCACCCACAACCCGATTTCAATCACCTTATCAGCTATACTGACTACAGTCAACAATTCAACGATCCCTATTTCACAATGAATGGCATTTTCTTCGGCGTTACCCTTTTTGATGGAGAGACACCATCTGAAAGCCCTTATCCAATGACTGGTGAACCTGGAGACGACCATTGGCGGGTCAAAGTCTCCCTTCAAACTTTCAATAAACACAAATTTTTCTACTGTTTGAATCCACCGAAATCCCGTTCTGGGATCCATCAAGTGACACTGGTTCTTGCAAAAAACCCATCCGACCTGGAATTGGTCTCTCGTTTAAGCTGTGTGCAAGAAATTGATGCATCGGATAATCCATTTCTCCGACGATCGGATAATCTATTTCTCCACAAATGGTATGCTAATGAGATGAAAATGGGATCCTCTTCAGGGATTCGATATTTTGTGAGTCTCTTTGTAGTGAATGGAGTTCAATTGGAGCATGCAAATCATGAATGGGATACGGTGACAAAGTTCAAGGTTCCAGAATTGAGGTCTAATGATGGACTGTGCTGGGGTTTGGACTGTGCTGGGAAGAGCTTTTTTTCTGAAGATTCTGACGATTCTGAAGATTCTGAAGAAAATGATTCTGAAGATTCGGAAGGTTCTGAAGATTCTGAAGAAAATGATTCTGAAGATTCTGAAGAAAATGATTCAAATGAAGATGAAGAATCTGAGTGTGATGAATTCTTAAATGGAAAAGATGAGGACGATTCGGATAATGAAAATAAGGACGATTACGATTACTACAACGGTTTATAATTCTTACAATGTGGGCGAAGCAGAAAATGAAACTTGCAGCAACTATTATTTGGATGATTATGGATATTATGGAAATAAGAATGTTTACCACTGGTGATAATTCTTACAATGATGGATATTAAGTCTCAAAAGTTATATTAATTAAAAAAAGTCTTAAATTGTCATTCAATTTGAAAACAGCTTAAATAAATAAACTTTAATGAAGAAATAATTGAATAACAAAAGGCAATGCATAACTTCAGACATCTATTAGGTGTGTGAAAAAGTAATCGACGTTTTTTATTTTTATTTTGTTTAAATAAATATATCTAAACAATTTTTAATTTTTTGTTAACGATATATATATCGTTTAAAGCTTATTTTTCCTCTTTCGAATGATATATTTATTTTGTTAAAGGACAACAATAAACTACTTTCATTTTAGTTTGAAAATGGTATACACAAGTATCGTTATTCGGTCAAATTTGCTTTATGAGTTCAAAAATGGGTTGAAAGCTGCGGAGGCTGCACGTCGAATTCGGAATGCGTTTGGCGAAGACGCCGTTATTGATGGTACCGCTAGGTTTTGGTTCCGACGATTCAAAGGTGGTGATGAAAGCCTAGAAGATGAACCACGTGGCGGTCGCCCTGAGACCTGTTCTGATGACCAAATAAGACGCTGTCTTCTCGAAAACCCTCGTTCAACTTCTTCAGAAATAGGCCTTACGTTAAATTGTGATGGGTCAACCGTAAAGGAAACGCTTGGATGCCATGAATTTCATCAAAAAGTTGGACAAATGGATACCGCATGAACGATAACACGCGACCACATGTCTCTTTACAGACTTGACAAAAATCCAGAGTGTTGGATGGGAGGTTTTTACCACATCCACCTTATAGTCCAGACCTTTCTCCATCTGATTATTATTTATTTTTGTCTCTGTCCTAACTTTTTGGCCAATAAACGGTTCAATTCCGAAGAAGATGTCAAAACCGAGGTTGCTCTTTTCTTCGCCTCTAAGGACCAAGATTTTTATTATCGTGGAATGTCTTTACTTGTAGAACGTTGGCAAAAGGTTGTTCTTTCGAATGGTGATTACTTCGTTGAATAAAAATTATTTTAACGAAACTTATGGTCCTCTATATTTAAACGTTAAAAACGTCGATTACTTTTTCACACACCTAATATTTAGCCAATTTTATGTTTAACTTTGGTATTTGGCATTTACAAACACAAAAAAACAAGCCCAATTTTGATGATGTTTAGATGTTGCCATGCAGTTCATCCCGATGCCCCTTTTTATTGACCGACTGTGACTGCGACTAACAAGTGTTCGCAACTCTCGAATGGTTAGCTTTAGCTACGTTTGTGTACAGGATGCGCCATAATTGTCGCAACAAGGTATCAAGCGCGTAATTCCGATAACTACCTGGCTCTTCTCAAGGATGAACCCTTGCCATTTTGAAAATGGCATTTGGACTTATCAGCAAGATGGCAAATCAGCCCACAAATCCAAGAGTTTTGCCAAAAAATTCTCGGACTTCATTTCTTTTCTAAGTGGCCACCTAGCTCTCCAGACCTCAACTCAATGGATTTTTCAGTGTGGTCGGTTCTAAAAGCCAAAGCTTGTTCAAGGTCCCACAAAAACATCAAAAACTTGAAGAAACCACTGTTGAAAGCGTGGGAAGAGCTCAGTTCAGCTATTTGGTCGCCACCGTTGACGCCTTCCCAAAATGCCTGCAAGCCTGTTCAAATGCTAATGATGACCAATTCGCATTTGATAGTTCATTTATAATTGCTAATGTATTGGGTTGATGCATAATTATCCGGACTTCTTTTATAAATGATTTTATTTAACAAAAAATAACATAAATAGTTAGAAAAATATGTTTAATTGATTATTCTGGAGCATATTCACCGCCTACATCAATAACTGATTGCCATTTGCTTGGAAGACGATCGATTCCACGAGCGAAGAATAAACGATCTTTGGAGGCAATCCACGCTTTAACATCGTCTATCAAGTCATCCAAATCGTTGTAGATCTTATTTGTTTGCCAATTTTTGAGCGATCGATTGACGTGGTAGTCCGTTGGGGCTTCTCCAGTTCTTTGAGATCGCGAAACGACTCTGCGGCAGACCATCCCTTTTCGAAGTGGTAGAGCATGATATGGCGAAGATGGATATGATTGTCGACACGCATTTTGTTCACTAAAGAATAACGAATATTTAAAAAAGAAATAGACAAAAAGCTTTCAAAACAAAAAAGATACAAGCACGCAAAAGAAGTCCGGATAATTATGCATCAACCCAATACAATAAAGGCCATTCAGTTAAAAATTTGTCTTTTTTCTTCTTGTCTGCCTTAAAATCAGAACTTTATCTTGTTGCGAAAATTATGGGAAAATTTACCGGTTCAATAGTAATCTTTTACTTAACTTTAAACAAAACAATGCGAAATGAAGTGTTGAAATTTTTGGGGATTCGTCGTGAAAAGACAGCAATCTATTCACTAAAAAATAATCCGCAAGCATTTCAACTTGTTTTAAATCCAATTTTTTCAAAAAACAATGACAAAGTTCGGAGGGAAAACGAGAAAATGCGATTGGAGTTTTCTGTTTCTTTTTTAAATTTTGTCATCTTGTATTGAGAATTTCACCAATCAGTTTCCGAGCTGCAAACGAGCTTTAGATAAAAAGGGATTTAGAAAGAGAAGAAGGAAGGAGAAAGGAAGAAGAAGAAAGAAAGAAAGAAGAAGAAACAAATACTTGTTTACTTGTTTGGGATGATTATCAACTTTTTTGACTTCTCTACTCGCTGACTTTTGGGAGAAATTGCTCTAGAACTGGCAACTTTCTTGGCAATTGAAATGAAAATGGCAAAAAAGTTGAACGGTTCGATGATTTTTGTTTAACTAGGTTTCAAATCTGTCAACTATCTAGTTTTCCAGTTTTCGATCTTCGTTTACTGACGCAAAAGTAAAAGCTTGACTTCTGCATTAGAATACGATTCATAAAATGTGTCGATATATAATTTATAAGACTCTCGTAATTTATAAGTCTCCATTATATCCATTGTTTATTAAGTTAAGCAAAAATAAAGAACAACATTTCGTATGTCCGATAGTTTAGTGTCAAAATTTTAACAATTTTAGTATTTTTTTATTATGTTTATCTTTTGTGTGTGAAGTTTTATTGATTTTGGCAAGTACTGTTAAGCAGAGTTTCTTTTTTTCATTGGCAACGAGCGTTGACTATTCGTTGAAATGGAAACCGTATTCGTCTTCACCAAGCGTCTTCACCAAGAAAAGCTTTAAGTTAAACCCTAAAAGAAGACTTTTCTATCTAAAATGAAAAGTTTCTTACAAAAACTGCAAAACGATTGTCGTCATTCCCATTGGCTGGACAGGTAAACGGTTGAGAGATCCAGTCAAAAGAACACGAGTCTCGAAACTGAAAATTGATTTTTAATAGAGAACTTATATACCCGTACTAATCGTAGTTATTCTGTTAAAAGCCATTTTTGCTAATTCTCTGTTGGTAAAGTAAAATACAGGATACGGCAGGATTATTGCAACCAATATTTTTAAAAGATAGAAACCAATAAAGATCGAAACCAATAAGAGATCGAAACCAATAAAGATCGAAACCAATAAGAGATAGAAACCAATAAAGATAGAAATCAATAAGATATAGGAACCGATAAGAGAAATTAACTCAAAAACTTTAACAATTGACTTTTGAAGATATATTAAAGAAGAAAAACGATTTCTTTCCAAAAAAAAAGATCTTTATGGGCAGAAATGCAGGCCTGGTGACATTTGGGAGTATCCATAGGCCAAATGGTAAGCCGGATCGAGTTTATCACATGCTTTTTGAAGAGTTTTCTTAAGCGAATCGCTGGAATGAGGCTTTGAGCACGTTTTTGCTTTAAGAACATCTAAAACACTGAAATCCTCATCGGGACTTCAGAGTGACCACTAAAAGTGGCCAAATCGAGAAAATGCTCCTGTCAGCCAGTCCTGAACTACGCCTTGTGAGCAGAAGCATCATTCTGCATAAAACACCAAATCTTGCTGCCAAAGTGATTGTTGGCTCATGGAAGAAAATGGGAACCGACGAATGGGAAAATGGGAACCGAACAGGAACTGATCTTTCTTACGTATGTTATCTTTCGAGATAGCTGTAGGAACTAACATTAATGCCCTGAGGCGATTAATAATCCTGCTGCACCTAGTATTTTTAAAAAGCTAGAGCCAAGTATTTGCTTACCTGATAAGTTGTTGCATCCCAAAGGTATTGGCCGTCGATTCCGTAAATTTTGCCGTGTGTCAGCACCGGACTTCTCACAACAGTTTTATTGCTTGCATCAACAAAACCAATCAAACGATTTTGAGCTGCTAATTTGTTTTTTTTTTTGGGGAGCGATAGAAATTTTCAAATTCTCTTAAGATTGGAGAAAAATATTTGAAAAACAATGTAGGGACGGGATAAGCTAAAGCTGTAATCAACTGTTTAGCTCAAATTCTTATTTCTTATTTTACCATTTGCATTATCAATTTCAATTATTGGGTTGGTGAATTGAAAACTGCCGGACTTTGAACTAAAATTTATTCAACATAAAACCATGAATTCATTCCAAATAATTTCCATTATTATTGACAACTTCCGCTCATTTTGCAGGCAATTTGCGGATTCCTCTTTCGTAGTAGGATTTTGGTTTGTGTGTGAGACAAGTGTGAGACTCAAAAATGGAGGACTAGAGATGCCCCAGTTTGAGCACTTTCTTCAAAAGAAACCCATTTTGGTGTCAATAGAAAAGTTGTAGAGAATCAAAAATCAAGCTTATATCCAAATTTCCAAAAAGCTACACTTAGTAGTTTCGCTTAAAATGCAAGTTTTGTGAACACTCGTAAATTTGGCATTTCTTGAAAACGAGTTTTTGAATCGTTCTGGAAATTTGGATATAAGCTTGATTTTTGATTCTCTACAACTTTTCCATTGACACCGAAATGGGTTTCTTTTGAAGAAAGTGTGAGAACTGTCACATATGACAATAGCCCGCAGTTTTCAATTCACCAATCCAATACATCCTGCTAAAAAAATATTTTAGATATGGTCGTCGATTGAGGAAAACGAGTAGAGAAGTTGATCAACTAGTGGAGAAGTTTGGCATGAAAGTCGATTCCGTTTTGAATCGAGAGGAGGAAAAGTTAATCTTCTCAAAATTGCTGACAAATGCTGTGAATGATACGTTGGATTTTCTTGAAGATGAATATGATATCCCAGTGATTGAAAGGCGTTCTTTAAAGTTAAACTTCGAAATTTCTCTACAACTTTTCTATTGACACCAAAATGGGTTTCTTTTGAAGAAAGTGCTCAAACTGGGACATCTCCAATCCTCCATTTTTGAGTCTCATACTTGTCTCACACACAAACCAAAATCCTACTACAAAAGAGGAATCCGCAAATTGCCTGTAAAATGGGCAGAAGTCGTCAATAATAATGGAAATTATTTCGAATGAATTGATGGTTTTATGTTCAATAAATTTTAGTTCAAAGTCCCGCAGTTTTCAATTCACCAACCCAATATTATCATTAGTCAATCAAATAAATTCAAATATTCTTAAAGCTGTGTTATTAGCGGACTCTGTCAATAGAGTGTTAGCTTTGAGATTTAGAGTGGAAAATTTCTGTTTTTACTTCTCTATCTTTGCTTCTATTTAATTCCTTACTCGAGTTTGTGGTTGGCTCCTTGTCGGGGTAATCGCTGTGAATGTCTTTGGAGAAACCACCATAAACCTGTGAT